ATAGTAAACGTGAAACCAAAGTTATTACGTACTTACATTATGTTTCTCTTTACATGTTCAAGTTGTAACTGATAGTACATAAGAAGTATAATTGGGTGTGCAGTTGAATGTACGTAATAGCTTATCTAGATAATTATCCTTATGCGATGAGGGTGGAACAAAGTGTTTCCGCTCATCTGGATCGTGTATATATTTCAATCTAGTAGTTATGATGTCGTTGAAATAAACAAAACTTTTGATTCGAAATATGTATCTTGATTACTGCAAGTGAAAGTAGCAGTGAAAACGCTTCTCTCCTCACATCAAAAAAAGCGTTGTTGCTTAAAGGCGTAACTGTCCATATGCTCCACTCATCCAAAACACCTTCTTTTGTGCACGTTTCATCAGTTTCAACGTTTAGATCAATTCACCAGAATTCGAATAACTTTTGAATTTTATTCAGCCATTTGTCACTAAGCAAAATCTTTTACCATTTCCCACACTCTTGTTCATGGAATTCCCGCTGCAAAGATGGGTATAATACACGAAACAAGGAAATTTCTGGATTTTCAGTGACACTTGACTGTGGATGTACAATAAATTTTCTTTCATAACGAAAAGGTACAAGAAGTATTTAGAATAATCTGCTGATCCAGTACGTCAGATACGGTTCCATAAGAAAAACATTTTGTGGCTAATAACCAAAAAACTAACCGTGCATATTTTCCAATTTCAAAAACATGGTTGAAAGTTCTGAAGGCGGGCTATTCAGTCTGATTCCACAATTTGTCGAATTACTCAGACTATAATATTTCTTTCTTTCTTTCTTTAGGTTGTAGTTTACGTAAGTCTGTAGTTAAACAGCGACGAAAAAACCTTGACCCGAGCCAAACCTCGATCTTTGTTACGGGATATTCGCGGTGTACTTTGGTAGAATCGAACCCATCCTACCAAAATCACACGCAAATATTCTACTACTGAACCAACGACGCCTGTGATTACGACACTGTTCATATTTATTTCGTGCGCTTGACGATGCCGTTTCACGTGAAATTTCTAAATGTAACTCGTAGCGGAGAGAATCCTTGAGTCGGTATAGATGTTCAGTTATTGTGGGAAGCTAATTTTGTGCAAAGATCACGGGTTTGCCTCACGTGAAGATCGAACTCACGACTTTCAGATTATGAGAGTGACGCGCTGCCTACTGCGCTGCCGAGGCCTGGTGTACCTAATAGGAGGCGAGATGGTGAGAAGGCGAGAATTTTATGTAGGTGATTTCATTTTAATAGCTGGATGACATCTAATAGTGCCAGTACATTTCGTCTAAAGCTAGGCCATGATCTCTTGGAAACAACATGTTCACATGCTTAAGTCTTATTTTAGTATACGCCTCGTAGGTTTTTATGGAGCGTTGTAGTGTTGTGTATGAACACAGTTCCCAAAAAATAAATCAATCTTATCGAACTGTTACTTTTGTTCTTCATTTCACACAAATAGCATCCTGGTCAATGATGAGATATGTAAAATGTTTTGTTTAGCACATCTTGAACAAGTATGTTTCCTAATAAAATCACTTTAAGCCAAAATTCCGTAAACGGGTCTAAAAAGTATCACGAATGACAACTGGAGGGTCTTCATTTCGCGCCTGATAATGTAGCAAAAGATCTACATATCATTACAGTAAAGAATGTGCAACACAACAAACAATTTCTGTGTTCCTATAATACCCATGTGGCATAGCGTTGATGTTTTTACAAGACACAGTACCTAGAACAATGGCTATTCTGTCATCCAAATCCTTTTATTTACCAGTATCAGAATACAATAGAAAACGATTATATGTTGCTATTTCTCTCTATTTTATGTTCCAAATAAAAATTTTTCATTGCTCTGGTTTTATATATATTTTCTGCCACTTAAAATATGCGCTCTTTTAACGTATATACCGCACAAACATACTTTCAGTTATTATCTTCTATTACATTTGCTTATAGAAAAATGTAGACTTGGAATCGATAGAGCAGCACTTCACGGAGTAATGACAATATTATCGTTCTGTGGTATGTTCGCTATACGATAACGTTCGCTATTACCAAAATTCAATTACCCCTGAAACAGTTCAATTCGAAACAAGCTAAAGCGATATCTATGTCGCAACGTTTCTGCTGAAGTTACTGATTAGGATGAAAGTTCGGTTCAAGTTTCATTATATATTCCGCATCTTTGTTATATTAATATTGAATATAGTACCCGTCCTGCTCTTGGCAAAGATTCAACAAACACACGACAGACTGATTTGATTAATTTCTGCAAAACGATTCGTACGTGAAAACGGGCTCATATATAGTTAGAAGTGTTTTTTCTTCCGAAGTCGACGCTTATTTTGTTTACGCTTCAGATGTCACAAAAACTCCGGACCTCATCATTGGTCGCCGCTTAGTCTTGATCCCACATACCCACACCTATAACCCCCATAGTCCACATATAATAGACGAAAGAGGGGATGTTTGTTGACTACCGAAAAAACGCGGAAAAGGAGCGACCTACTCGAATAATCACTACCCGATCCCGAGAGAACATCTACCGTTACCGACGATCGTCATGGAACGCCATCTGCAAATACCTCTAGAGTGCATCTCGCTTCATAGATATCAGCTAGCGATAAACGGCGTCTAAAAAGCGTTTAATCGGTAAATCGACTTGAATTTTTGAAGTCGACCCGAGAGGCGGCATTCCAGCAGCTCGTTGAGGCGCACTGGAGTCGACGCTTTGGCGGACGATCCAGCCACCCTTCCAGTGAACCATACATGCTGAAACCCCTGTTGAACGAAGTGGACAAATTTTCGCGTACTCGCTAGATCAACCGAACTGAGCGGTGCGGTGCGGAGGAAAGACATGATATAAAAAGTACCCCTAAGCCAATTGTCTGGTGGACGAAGGGGGTAAACATACACCGATGAGGGGGCATTGTAAAAAGATGGGTGCCATCACAAGGTGCAATAGAAGGCTACATCGAGGGGCTAGGAGAGGTTCTGGGGAAGAAACACGCCTGGAGTCAGTAAACAGATTCACTCTAGCGGGTGTCGGATTCTATCATGGTAATCGCTCGAAGAGACACCGATGCTCATGGAATGCCTGGCGAAACTATTCAGCTTTGAGAGGTCCGAGAGAAAGTGCGTTTCGGCGTACGCCTCATGGACGTCACATGCAGCGGCAGATCGCTAAATGACTGCATAAAGGTCAGTGGTCACCTGATGTTCTGGTTAGCTATTTTGCAAACGACATCTGACCTTGTGCTGTGCAATTTCGACGGAATTAGCTAGAGCTGCTAAGGGTAATTCGACAGAAATCTACCTGGAAGGTAAACAAGTATTGATCTTTGTTTCTGTTTTGGTACGATAAGAATATGTGTGTAATTGCGTAAGAAAGACGCAAATGTTGTAGAACTAATTGTTCAATGAATAAACATCGAGAGAGCGAAGAAATTAATTAAATTTTAGATAAAATAAAGTGAGTCGCGCTAGTTATAAAATCGCATAGTGAAAATTATGTAATTAAAACAAATAACTTCGAGATTAATTTCTGTTCTCAACAATTTGTGTTTGCTCAATCAGGCCATGATCATTTTTACGTAATATATGATGTATTTACGCACAACAAAGTCATGGATAACGAATTGTTAACAGAAAAAACGATTAGGGATGAAATTACTTCCAACAGATGGTCCAAAACAGAAGGTGCGGTAGAAATCGTTTTTTGGTTATTGTATATGACAACCAAAATCTAGCGGCCATGTCTTTAAATATATGGAAGTTATCATGAAAACAATTCCGTCCCTCAAAAGTTCACACCTTTTATGACATGTACATCAAATGGATAAGATTAACTGAAACACAAAATTGGGACTTAATGAACGAAACAGTCCAGTAATATAATCCGAACGGCATACAACCTGAGCACGAGCGCGTACCAAAAGATCGCGTTAGTTATTCAGGAAACAGACCACGATAGCTAGATTGGTGATATTCTTTAAATCAACGTATCTCGTCGGATATGAAATGGATTAATCCTATGATGAAGTGTAGGTCGTAGGTACGTTATAGAGTAATGGCTGGATGCTATCTGTGCCACGATACATTTCGCCGTGATGCTGGTGGCTAGAAGCAAAATGGCGTCGATTCCATGATCCTGTCTCTTCCATCGTTAATAACTTCTGAAAACAGCCAAACTTACATTTCTTACATATTTTATATTAAGAACGAAATTCGAAGTATTTTTCCGGACCCTTCTCAGCCAACGGAACACAAACGCAATATCTTTAATCAGATAGAGATGCGACGATGTTTAGCACTCCACGCCAAGTTCAAATTCATTTCTTGACTGTTTCATACGGTTTTTTCTTTTCTATCTTAAAGTTCTAAGAAGTGTTAATCGAATCCATTTTTTGCATCGTACAAATATATAGAACACAATTTATGTGAAAATGTTACCCTTTATTCATTCTTACTAGTATATTAAATAACAAAATTGTTGCATTAATTTTGTACTGACACCGTAGCATCTGTTTTTTTGCAGTGTTCTTCGTCCTTATTCGTCCATTACGTCGACAATATTGTTTTTACTATTAGTAACGTACTTTGGTTAAGCGTTGACAAATTTACCTGTAAATCGTGTATGTATTCAATGGCCAATTTTAACGTCTTAATTTTTGAGCAACGTTTGCTGTTCTCGCCGGCAGCTGGAATTCGGTTTCGTAGTCGATCTAGCGCCACGTTTAAGCGTTCCATACGTTTTCGTTCCTAAAACAAACCAAATGGACGTAAGCGTGCTTTACCTTTGTCTGCACGTGTCATGTCTCGCCAATGTAAAATCGTGACTGCTTCTAGTAACTGGGCCTTTGAAATCATTCGTGGAAGGTGAAAAAATCTCGTTTCCAATTTTAGCTTATGTGGCTCTTCGCGATCTCCAACAAGCATACGATTCGAACATTTAAAACACGTTTGAAAATCAAAATCATAATACTAACAAGTATATGAGTTTTACGTATATTTTTTTTCTTTCATTCCATCCCTCAATGAAGATCTCCAAGTGAGTGGACATCATTATTCACATTAGTTTTAGTTGAAATTTACTATTTTTTTTTTTTAAAAGCTTTGAAGCTGTGCCACTTCGAGTAGGTCAGTTTATTAAATAGAAACTACCTCTTTTAGATAATAAAGTTCCGTGTGTTATCTGTCATGAAACTTTCAGTTTGATTTGCATTTCATCTAACATCATGAGCATACATACAGTCGTATGGCTATCTTCTGCTCGAGTTGACATTGGGATCACTAACACACTGTCCGATAAACTCTAACGTCCGTCTGCCAATGAATGGAAATTCTTATCACTGAAAAACAGACAAACTGAAAAAGGACGCGCACTAACTAAATAACCACATCTCATCGTACGGCCATTGTGTTTGCGATGCGCCCCCACAAAGCAGGTTCACTGTCCTACTGTGCCCCAAAATGGGAGCGCTGTCCTGCTTTGTGTATAGGTAACACTGGTGTTTGCTTCCGGCTGACAGCATGAAGTGTCGACAGTCCATGCGCAGAGGTTATGCAGCATGCGGACGTGCATGTCAGGCCACGAACAGGTCAGCAAACGTACCCAGACAAACAGCCAGCACTAAGAGCAGCAACTGTGCTGCGCATGGATATCATCTTCAGGTAAAAATTGCGCCCCGGGGGGTTCTGCTCGTCGAGTTTACATTGGGCCTCAGCTCTTCCAAAGCTCTTGTACTCGACGTCTCGCCATGACAACCTTTTCGTTACCCGAAGCTGTCTGCCTGGATAGTGCCTGTGGCAGTGGCAGCGGTTGAAGGCCTGCGGGAATAATGTCAGTGGGAACAGTACAGTGGCGATACCTTGCAGGCAAGCCAATGTAGGAGAAGGCCAAAGACAGCATGAAGGCTAGCCACGAAGAAGACCCATTCTCGACAAGAGAAGAGAAGAGCTTCCGTACCATGAGGGGACAGGCTAGCAAAGGCGGTAGAAGCAGCTTGCTGGAGAGGTTTTAAGTGTTATTCTTGTGGTCGTTTTCAGTGTGCGTCTCAGCCACCCGTATCTTAGCTTGAGAGCTATAGGGGCTTGTGCCGCATGGAAGATAAGGCCAGCAGAGGGTTCAATGCGCAGCACAGCGGACAGCTGAATGGCAAAGAGGGGAACAGCTACAGACCTGCACATTCGCTAAAACGAAGTAGGAAAGCCCTCACAGAAAACACGACAATCGTTCCGTCGGAGGGGTCACCAGGGGTGCACTCTCACTGTAGAAATAGAGAGAAACAAGGTTTTTCAGCAGTGGTCTCAATATCGCGCACTGACTGGGGTCGGTAGCGGCGGTATCCACTTCCGCAAACGAACTCGCCCTTTCGTTTTCTCCTTCGTTCAACGGCTCGGTTGCCTAGGGGCCGACGGAACGAGAATCCGCTCTAACACGTTTCAACCACGGGCGACAAGAACCGCAAGAGTTCCATACACTCGTCGGATGTTGAAGCAACTGAGAAAAGACCTGGTTCTATTGAAACGTTTTTGATAAAACAGTATGACAAAGTTTCTTATAAGAAAGGTCAGCCTATTTCAAGATGACATGTAAAACAAAAAATAATATAGTTGTCGAGTACTTATAATTTACAGAAGACGTCAACCTCGACGATGCCACGATAATTAGAGACTCAAGCCTTTAACAAAGACACTAAACACATTATTATATAGTTTTTGTACTTCCTGTGAGAGCCATATGTTACACTAAAATGCTTATTTCTTTACGAATAGACTTGAAGTAAATACTTGTGACAGCTGACCGTTCTTTGTCAGGCAAGCCCGACATATAATTTTAGTGTTTCTTAAACCCGAGAAGTCCTTGCGTAAAACTATTGTAAACGTCATGTTAATACCTCTACGCGTATACATGATACATGGAAAAGTGATAAGTTTTTTTGGTATTAAAATGGACGACTATTAAATCAGATTTCGCGCACCTTTCAGTGAACACCTTTGATGTTGTATAGCCGTGTTTTAATACTGGATATATTTTTTACAGGTTTATCTAATTTTCTTTGATTAATCTATGTAATCTAGTAACAATGCACTAATCACGTGGGTCTTTACCTAAAGGTTAACATGTCTAATTGCGTCTGTAGTGTGCAGTCGTTTGGTGACATAACTGAATGGGATACACAAGGTTCAATAATTTCCCGACGAAAATGTAACTCAAGGGTCCGTGGCGCAATGGATAACGCGTCTGACTACGGATCAGAAGATTCCAGGTTCGAATCCTGGCGGACTCGATTTTCCTTTATGTACACTCGCATACGGACAGCACACAGTCGAGTTCAATTGGAGTAATTTATTTAATAATGAATTTAAAAGCACCTTGATTAGGTCTTGATTCATATAGTTGTATTAAAATGGATGTGCTTCAGCATAATGAACAACACTCTTGCTAACAGACTCCTGGTGTACGTATGTTAAATTTATTCGAATTCAAAAGAACCTGGTCCATATATAGAGCAAAAGTTGTAAAGACTAAAAAACAAACAATCAGTTGAAATGTTTGGTAAATTAAAAAATTTACGTTACACTGACGTATAAATTTAAATTGCGAAAATCCTCATCGAGATTTTTAATTTTTACACAACTGGATAAATCGAGGGTTGAATTTGCGCGTCAGTGTTCAATATCGCATTTGCTAGACACTAGACCGTCAAATCTGTTCATATAAACAGACTCATTTATTTTATGAATATTGATTAGATAATCCTTTAGTTATGGCGTACATGATGCAGCGTTTGCTAGGTCCGCAAATCGTTCCGCAATATAGCGTTGCTCGAAGGTACTTCAAAGCCATTTTTTTCTTTGAAGATTGTAATAAGCATCGCTTGTATATAAACGCACAAAGCAGCATGATCTCTTTTCCAATAGAGATAAGCATCTCGAAAACTGTAATTATTTCAGTAATGAACTAAAGATAACTTTCCATCAATTTTAGTGATTAATATTTACTGAGTCAATCTCCGGCTTATGTTTGAATTCGATTGTAGTATTTTATTTGTTCTTTGGATTTAATTACGTAGACAAACTAGACCACGTAGTTACTAGTTATGTTTTTGTTTTGGTGAACGTAGAATAAGAAGAAAAGTTTTTATGTTTAGTCTCCCTCAGTCACCGTAAAGACTATAATTCGTTTGAAGGAAGGAATCATCAGATCAAACATTTTAGTGTTTATCACGCGAAAGACCATTGTCTGTATCCTAATGAAGCTATTCAGCATAGATCTTTGAAGCCTTCTCCTGTACGTAAGACCGGGAGTTCATTTTAGATATTCGATTTCAATTGACTGAGGTCTATTTCTTGGGTAACTGAAACACACTATGGCCAAAAAGTTTATGCCGCTAAGGCTGGCAATAGCTATTTAACTGGACAACTCCATAAGATTTTGTGTAATTTAAGGGAACTAAGGGATTTATGAAGGCAGTTTCTAAAAATCGAAAATGACCTAATTGACGAGGCTATAACTACACATACTGTCGTGAGCAGTAATTATTGGTTTCGTAATAAAAGCATATTTATATCGATTCGTTACTTCTGCTTGTATTTACCATGATATTGGCGGCGGACCGTTTTTCATCGAGATTCTCGTAGACTTCATGCGCTTTTTGCGGGCTCGTCCGGTGTTTTCGTGCTGAAGTAGTTTTAGACAAACACTTAAGCCCCGTATTGATTTTGCCGACGGAAGGACTTAAGTGGCTGGAGGAGTTTTGCCGGGGGCTCTCACGAAAGGTCCAACTAAAGGTTCGCAACGTTGAATAAATCTTTTTTTTTTTTTTTTTTTTTAATTTCAAAAGAAGTATATGTAACTGGTTTAATAGAATACATTACCACTGCAATACTAGGGAGACGTATTTAACGAAGTAACTTTGAGTAAAAAAATACAAATTAGGCTCCATTATTCTGTCGAAGATCGATATGAAAAGACTGAGCGCTAATCACAGCGTCGCTTTATCTTTATCTCAAGGCAAGCTGACCCGTTCAAGGTTCTGTAGAAACACGTATCCATAATATACAAGCATTAGGTTCTGATTAATTCATAGTTTCAATTCAAATGTAGATGCTGTATAAGAGGGACATGTTGGTACTGCACATACATGCGCCTCCCTACGTACACAAAGAAGTCTACTCACTCGACAAAATGGTCATTATAATCCTGTCCAGTTGATTTAGTGACTCCGTCCATAGATTAAAGTGTTGCGAGTTCTACTTTCACTAGCACCGTCCGACTAACACGAGAAGGGACATGTAGACTAACCCGCTACAACCATCCTCTAACCCATCTATTGAGCACAGCAGAGAGATTTGACTGGGCCAGGGAACGATCTTCGCCCCATCCTCTCTTATCCATTCCTTGACCGCGAACAAGCACGCCGTCACTTTCCTATGTAGAAATTCGAATGAACAGCAGTAGGAACGTTCAAAAATAACATTATCAGCATCGTCTTCTTGTTTAAGTCGATACTCTACTTCGTCGACGTTCATCTAGTGGGCTCGCTACCTAAACTGATCCTCGTATCTGTTTCACTGCAACAGCGTGACCGCGCGCCAGTAAATGCCCCAACATTGAGAACTATTTAAGCACATTGACGGCTGAACATTCTATTTGAATGTATTGTATATGTAACATTTGGCTTGGATGGCTGCTGTTTATATTCTCTTGACAGCAAAGACAAAATGCCAGTACCGGCAGCAGAAGCATCGGCACCATTTCGGTTTGCCACGAAACTTATCTCGACGCTTATGCGGTCATGGCAGAAATATAACGGAAACGATGAATCACCGCAGATTACGACTATTTTATTGTTTAGTGATAAATCACAGCGTTTTCTTGCAATCATTGATTGGATAAAGTAAATAGTTGCATGTGTATCCATTTGATGGAGGGCATCTTTCAAGCATTAGAAAGACAACATGTAGATAGTCTCTTCAGTATGGCCGCATGAGCATAACGGTGGTGTCTAAACTGTAATGTGATTTTATACGGGATAAGTATTCAAAGTTCACATTTTATGAGTACTTGATTCTTCGATTGAGCATGTTTTTGGAAAAGAAAAATAGAGTAATAAAAAACACAAATAGAAAACTTTTTCTGATAGAAGTGAGTCACTTTTCTAACATGTTGTGCCAGTGTAGAAAGAAAATAGGCAAAAAGAAGCTAGCTAGCCTAAATCAGGACCAGAACAAAATCGCATAAAACACGCTGCTTAATAGAAACATATGGATGGCTGACTGGCGCCGAGATTTTTCCCGCTGGTTGAGTTAATGCCCTATTAATTCGACTGTGTGATGTGGTGAGCCTCTATTGATTGCAAGCACAATTCGAGTCGTAGCCATGTGAAATCATGGCTAGCAACACTACACACATGGGAAGGCTGTAAAGTATGTCTCAGCCTCCCAGTAACAAAGCATAGAGGACGCAAAAACAAGGGGTTTTTGGTAGCTTTTCACGTGAGTACACCAACAAATGCGATACAACCATCTTCTGTGACTGTTGAATAGCAAAACGGTGCTCAGTTTATTTACTGTTGACCAAAGAAACCTCGAAGGGCAGAACACATATTCGTCAATGCCTAAATAGGCCTGAAGTAAAAGAAATTAGTGAGTCGCACGGTTCAGTTTCGTTCGTTCCAGTCCTCAATCTCGTGCCATATTATATTGAGTAGAGCCGCGACGGAAACAACAATTTTTATTTTAAATGGGGTGAAATCTTCTATGCATTATATGGCCAGAGCTGTGGGAGGCGAGCGTGGCCGCTATTTCGATTGGTATTTTTTAGGTATGCTCAGTTGATTACTGGATACGACTAACGTTCGATATGTTCTGTCATTGAAGGCGATCATTAATTTTTCAATTGAGTTTAGTAAAGGCCAACAAAAACTAAGGTAAAAAATCAAGTTTCTAAAATATGCACACGTACGTCATTTCCACACAATAAAATCATATTGAAGAAGGGCGGAGTCATATGGGACGGGTGCTGTATGGGCTGCCCCGTTTTTTTTCTCTAGCAAAGAAACGTTAGTGCTTAATTGCAATGGATTTTTTGCCCAAATTTTGAAAAAAGTAGCGGCTATATAGGATAGCCAGGTACCTCTCGCACTTTGTTAAACGATAAAAAAGTGAAATACTCTTTTCCTAACCTTTTCTAGTTAAACTAAGGCATTCAAGTTTCGCACTCATTGTCCTAGAACGTGCTCGTCGTTGTTAGGCGACATGTTACACGTGACTGTTTCTGAAAGAGATTTTGACGATTTTTGCATATATATATCATATTGCATATAGGTGTCGTTTGGACAAGTCGGTATTGTCGAGATGTACATCACATTGTGGGCAATCACGGTCATACGTTAGAATCAACCATAAATAATTACTTATCATGCATAATCAAGATACTTTTCCAACTCGCGACCTTTGCGTACTGAATCAACCTGGATTTGAAGCGTGAAGTATTAACCTAAAAAATGGTTTGTGGCATAGGTCGCTCCACTTCAATCCTCGCAAAAACTCGGCGACGGCAGTTTTACATTGCGAAGTGCCAGCCCCGATGTAAACTACAACATGCCATGTTTCTTTTAATGGGTTTTTGACTATTCGATCTATAAGCCTCGCTGAACCTTTTTAGGTTCTTCTCTTTATTTGAATTCATGATACACCATTGCAACGATATGCCTATGATACGTTGAAATTTGAATCAGTGAGGGATGTACACACCTGTTTACTATGGCAACGCATTAAAATAGATCCACATTGGCCACTACGTTAGCCACCTAGACCATGCCGCCCCTGATGAAATTGGCTTGTATGGCTTGAACGGTGCACAAGTATCCCTTGCTCTTAATAAATATGCAACTCGTCAGTGAGCCAGTAAATGCGTAACTTAAAAGCCCTCTTTAAAATGCGCACGAGAATCTTGTAAGGACCTATCATAGGCAAGCCATAACCTTCGGCCTACCTAGTTAGGTCGCCCACGAATATATCATGTTTTTCGCACTTTACGTTTGCTGGTAGAATATTGGCTGCACAGCCTTTTCCAGCCAGAAAATCACTTTACCTTTAGTTTTGTTAAGTGATTGATTTCTCATACGAAACTCTTATAACCCGTATAGTCCCTTATGTAATCGCAGCCTATGGGTTATATGACTAAATGACACAGGCGTCTTCAATTGATATTCTCTCCAAAATGATTTCGTTTGGCGGCTTAAAGTACATCAGGCAGTCGCACAATAGGAAAGCGTTTGCTGCTGTATACACTACCGGTTTTTGTAATAGCAATAACGTAATAACAATAAATGTAATAACAATAACGAGATGCAAATTTTGGCCCATTTAGCCTTGCTAGTCTTCGTAAAACAAGCTTACGTAATCGGTCAGCTCAGTCGAATATTGCGTACAAGCTACAGATTTAGCTTAAATAAAGCAAAACGGAATTTTGTTAGAAGAACAGAGTTCGCTATTAGACCAGGAGATGTTCAGGCCTCGCACTCAACGGAACATATACGAGAAGCCTGCTAAATAGGACTGTGCCAATGAGATTCAAACGAGTATGTAGATAAATATTAAGTTTATTATGTGTATTATTCGGTGTTACATAGACTGTAGATTACAGAAAGAAGGACCTTGCGAAAATACGATTCTTCAACATTTGTATTTTCAGATTCGAACAGCGGGTACAGGGGGTCGTTTATTCTGCTCCTTTCGATCTCACTCGACTTTAGCTTTTTCCTTTCGTGTTATTTTCTCAAATTCACTCTTACATCATACAATAAATAATATATCTTTTTAAGTACTTCAATAATTGTTGTTGTTGTTGTTGTTGTTAAATTTAACGTCCGATTAAGTTAAGAAATCGCTTAATAACTAGATTTACCTTGGGCGTACGCTGCATAAAAGTAAAATAAACAAAAAAGTGCTTTAAGAGAATATTAGAAATATACACCGAAAATCTTAGGGTAATGGGTTGGTGAATAAATAATAGCTGTTTTAGCCTATTTCTTCCCTTTTCTTATTTTTCGCTTCTGTGTAATTTATAACGATAGCAAGTTTTATTGTAACTGTTTGTCCCAGATTCTGTATATAGTACTGGCCTTCAACAAACAAACATCTAAAAAACGGTACTAGTAAACAAAGGCAGACATTATTTATATACCAACGTAACCTTTACACGCAATAGAGTAATCACTAACCGAAATTCTTTCTTTGCCACTGAAAATTTCCATAGGTTTCGCCATTTCCCAAACGAGAGAGAACAACGCAACTCAAAAATACACCTATATATCTAACGATAAAAAAATTAGAGCCATCAATTGGGCAAAGTTTTACTTGGGATCGAAGCTTTTTATCTCTCAGTTGCCTTTAATATTTCAGGAGGGCTGAAGGACAGTTAAAATTCGTGGAGCTCTAAAAAGGTATGAACCTGAACGGGGGCTTTTAATGGGCAGACTGTTGCTGTCGATTGTCGCCGACCCACTTTTCATAATCGTTAGAGTCGATTTTGAAGAGTCTTTTTTTTTTTTTTTTTTTTTTCTGTTTGTTCATGTATATAGCGTGCACGTTTCTTCTTTAATATATAGCGGCTTAGTAGTGGACGCCTGTGATGATTTACAACAGCTGGCAAAAAGTCGGATGCTTCTCGCCGCTAGAGCGTGCTTTGTGGCATTGTAACGTTTCCAAATTGGGTCAATCAGCGAACTCTTTGCGAGTTCATCTGTATCCCTTGCTAATACATGAAAAAGCCTACGCTATTGGATTCTTATCGGTAGCTTATGGTCTTCATGCTAAAAGCAACTGCATCCGACGATAAAATTTATGCGGACATGTTCATATTAAAATTCATCATTATAATCATTTCATCAAATTATTTTTCCAGTTCAATTGAAGTTCAAACTGTTTGACTACCTGCCACTACGTGTCGACGGAACGTTCTCTAAACATTGTGGAAATGTTAAACAGAGATAGCGTTCTAATGTACTTTGTTTTTCTAAGTGAAATCTGTTTTGGTGCTGGGTATGATGTAGACCAATCTGATGGACTCTACGGGAGTTTTCTAGATGTATTTTACAATTTGCGAAGTCCTGCGTATCGAGGTAGTGACGAAGTGCGATCATCAAATGTCTCGGTGATCCAAAATAACAACCCGGCGAAACGACAGAGTGCGTTGGTTCGAGTTCGCCGTAGCGAAAGGCTTTTGTGTCTGGCTAACGACTTCGCAACAAACTTTTTCAGTAGACTTATCGAAGCTAATGAGAAGAACCTCAGGGATTGGGAGCCCATCGACATTGGCGATGGCGCTAACATCGGCATTTTGGACCTTAGGAGAGGAAAAGCGTACGGTGTCGCCAACATCTTCTTGCAGGTTGGTACCGGCAGAGGATGGCTGCGTATGGCTATTAAATGTGTAGAACGGAGCTTTTATGTATGTAGTTTGTGCAAAATTGTAGCATAACAGTAGATCTAGTTTCGAGTAAATTATCTACTATGATAAAATGGGTCATCCATGAGTCTTTGTAGAGACAGTTATCTATGTGGAGAATCGTTTGTTTGAGTCACACCTGCTGTGTCGTATATGTCATTGGCGAGACTTGATTCAGCTACCCATTGACTTTTCTTAGCCAGAGATTTAGCTTTTTATATAAAAGTAAGTTGTCAAGAATTATCAAAGGGTTATATGCCTGCCTGGACCAGCCAGTATACTCTATACAAATATGTACAATGTATAGTAGTATAGTTATAGATATCTGTGTTCCTGTAACGTGTATTAATCCTAAATTATTTCTCAGAAATGTATCTTAATCATAAAAAAATGAAAAATCCCCGTTTACAGAAGGATGGGATTGGAGTTTGCGCTAGTGGTGTGCAAGTGCAATGGCGTGTAAGCCTGAGTGCTTGTAAAATATCGACGAAGGCGTATATATATATATATATATATATATATATATATATATATATATATATATATATACTCTAACCGTAAATATAGATAGATTTTCTAAGATTGCTGTGAGTTCTGTATGGATATCTGATGATTTGCTGTTAGTCTACCTCCAAAAGAAAACCAAATCAAGAAAAGTTCGGGGCCGCACTAGCTTGTTTGGCTAGCTTAGAATTTTACCTCCTTCATGCAAAAATTTGATTGTTTCCAACCTGTGATATCAACCCGTTAATGTAGATACTAATTTATTAGTCAAGATTGAGTGTTAAAACGTTAGGGATTTATATGCATAATAATACGAATCACGCTTGAATCAATCTTGTAGAATATATATTAATTTCGATATAATGTAGAGCAAATTTTTTTTTTCGGTTTTTACGATTATTACTATTACAGGGACAGATCTGTCCAATATTTCCGCGTACATCCTGTGCTGTAGCTTGTTTATTCCCCGATGATTAAGCGCTTAATCGTATCAGCTCAGCACCAAGAAGGCAGCCTTTTTCCTATTATTCGCACATGGTCACGTGCGAGGTTTCGCTTTTCAATATTCAAAGACGAGGCTCAGAGGGCCGGTGGGCCGACACCCGCTCTTAGCAACCCAGTCTGCAGTATATTGAACGAGCTAACCGCAGTTATCTTGAGTATTTTTTGTCAGTTGAAGGTACTCTACAACACTCTGTTCTCGCTAGACTACCGAAAAGTAACACTCTACAGGTTCGTTGCCGTAACTAGAGAACAGAAGATTGCCGGATCACTGACCAGCTCAAAGGTCTCTTTGACGGAGAATGCCCCCAGACCTTCTTATAAAAACAATATAAACTTTAGAAACCACCAGTTTGAACTGAAACTTGTCTATCGATCGAATGATGCTTACTGCTATGTTTATGCTGCATCGGATCTGTGTATAGATCTGTGTAATTGCCGAATAGATAAACTAGCCGTCGTGCATTTGGGTGGATGAGCCGCATAAGTATACGGCAGGTACGCTTAACTTAGATCAGCTGATTTGCCGCGTTACGCACAAGATCTAAACGCAAGTAGCAATTTATAGCAGATCTTTTAGACCCTGTGCCTAAATCAGCTACAAGGCTATCGTAAGAAATATGTGTATAACATAGGGATGAAACATTTTTCTGTGGTACTAGGGCAAAGTAAATACGAACTGCGCAATCGACAAAGATTATGTCTCCTTGGAGCTACCCGTCGGAATTCGAGATACGCGTATCGTCTACGATTATACGGTGCCACTCGCCCTATACATGATTGGCGGCCAGATTGAAATAGGGTTCAGTGTAAGTATAATATAATACACATACACACGTTTATTAATTAGGTGGTACCCTGAAAAACTCTTAGCAAGTGTGATCAATTTTTATGAAAAGTGCCTAGCTTTACCTCAGAATATCCAATTAGTTAGACCTAGTTAGATAGCGATAGTAACAAAATGCTTTATATAGTTTAGTGAGTGGGGCAATATTGACCAGGCCCTTCGCTGATTAACCTATTCTATGTAATTTGCGTGTAATCAAATGTACCATATATTTAGCTATGAGCATTCAGCAGTCTTCTATAATCCTATTGCAATACAGCTTTTGGGTGTCAACGCGACATTGTACGTTGCCAGAAAGCGGAAGTCGGGCCTCAAACCTTACCTTAAACGTGTTGTCGTGTGGAGCATCCGAGGTTTCAATATGAAGTTGAATGGAGCCGGGCCAGCAACCGCGGCACTTGGAATCGGCTTCAACCTGCTAGCCAAGGTGTATATATAATGTTGTCAAACAGGTCTCACCGACCTAATACGCACAGTAGTCACGATTTGGCGCTTACAACTATGACTTTCTCAAACTTCTAGTAACTTTGAGCGTTTTCATCTAGTTATTATATTTGTTTCTTACGCGCAGACTTGTGCTAGAGGATTATAGAACTGTCGATAGACTATATGACACTAGCAGGACTGACGGTATACTGCGACCGTACCGATGTGTGTGTGTGTTTTGTTCTTGTCAAACAAGGTAAATTTGACCGACCTGAATCATTGTCGTTATTGTACGAGGTGCAGTTATAGCAACAAACTGCCTAGTGGTTTGAACAAAGGTCTGTTGTTTTCCTACTTTTAATTACCTAACCCTTTCTAAATACGTGTGGCAAATATACACGATCGTACCAGTAACTTTATCACGATCGTTATGTGTTCCCACAGGTATTTCCAATAGTCATCGAGCAATTTTTGGCCAGCCTATTCGTCCTGATAAGCGAAAAGTTTTTGGCCACTGCCAACTTGCCTATATGAACATCGAAAAGGCCACAGGAAAAATGAAGCTTCGCTGAAAATAGGACAGCCCTGTCGACTTTTTCTGAATATAAGTAAATTCTTGGTTAGGAAAACGTATACCTGCCACTAATTCCACTAATCTCAATTCATCTCCTCGTTATTGTAATCGAAGACGATACTCCCCTATAAACTCGATAAATCCCTACATAAATAATAGTGCTTCTTCGATACGTGAAGACTCAATAAGGACGGCATTTTTTTTCCTATTACAATCACATATTTAAAGCTAATAAAAGCTTGAGCCTTTGTTTTAATTTGCCAACTAAATGCTTTTAATTCTACCGCGATTCGCGAAAACAACATATTTGGCCCACGACTACAAAATTTTAGAATCATTTTTTACGGCCATCATGGTGTCCTGTCATGCAGGTAGTATTGTAATGATGCGTCTTGAACAACGACTTAAGCCCAGTAAGCACAAGTAGATCCCATGTACATAGGGTAAATGAAACGTTCATCAAACGTACCATGTGAGGGTAAGTGTGCAACATCCCGAAATTAGTGCGGTCGTTGTCGCGTTTGAGCATTCATCATCGTTGTAGGTTTTTTTTTTGTTTACTTAATGTAGAAGTGTCGTATCTGTTTACCTTGGGGCCTCTTCGAACATGTCGTATTTAGCGACAGAGGTAAGTAAAAAACTACGAAAATGCCAATCGTTTTGGCGATTTTCAGAAACACAAACTTCCGTTGCCTAGACAACGGATCAGTGTTAACGTTACAAAGTATTAAGGTTGAGGTTAACGCTAAAAAATATAATTTTCCATAAATTGATCAAGTTTGTGGATGGGAACAATCATTAACTATTTGAACGAGCAACACAAAAATCGAACCCTATCGTTAAAAAAAAATTTGGCAAAATTCGGCTTTATAGTTATTGGCAACGAGGAGCCTATTGTAGGGCTACAAAGTGTAAGGAAAATCACGGTTAGCTCTATATATGCGATGGGAAATGCTTAGTAAGGAGCTCACTTAGCAGAGTAGATCAATTAACTATTGATTTAAAGATTATATTAACTGTCGATTAAGATAATAATAATAATATATAAGAATAGTTTATTTTTACATATGAAGAACGATGCTGCGTAGGATATCGAGGCAAAAATACGTTGAATCCCTTCATCGACTATGAGTCCCAAAAGCACTTTAAAGATACGGATATCACTCAGATCTCGAAGACAGTCACATTTGTTGTTGTCTAAGTTGATGGTCCTATGGCAAGTACCCTCAATTTTAAATGCAACTGTACTAATCTGCAATTTGATGAACGTAATCTGTTCGTTCGTGCTTATCAAAAATTTGCCCCTAACAAGTAGCCCAAACACACTTCGAACGTTGATTTATATCTATGAAGTATATAATGAGAAGAGAACTTAAGCTGAGCATACGTTTATACATAAAATAATGCAATACGCCTTATTTACTATTCATAATCCACTATAAAAGTCTATGGAAACCAAGCAGAATGAAAGTTAACGTTTATCAAGCAACTAGGATTATGTACTCCGAGTTGTTGGTATTGGCTAGGAGAATCTGTTGTACTTGTTGGTCATCTGCAGCCCTAGCTTGAGTGGCTCGTACTGACTACGAGACGCGTGTAACTAGACGTATGCTTAACTCTAAGCAAATCATAGAAGATTGAGAGCTCCGAATGAGCGGTTCAGAATCGTCGGTGATGCTCTTGATTTTTGAAGCGCTGCTAGTGATAGCTATCATATGGGTTCTCCAACGCATGATTCTGTTTGGACAACTTGTTTACTCGATGCTGTCTGTGCCCCGTATTCCTGAACGCTTTCCATTCTCACTGCCTCTCGACCTCATTCTCGATATGAGGAGGATGAGCCGTTCGGTGAAGAATAAGCCGAATGGCCGAGTTCCCCTCACCAAATTGAAGGCTTACCCACGAAGTAAGTACATTTGTCAAGTATATTTCTGCACAGCTGCTTGATTATGCTTTCTGTTTGTTTTTGAAGAGACATGATTAACGGCTTAAATGGTTGGTAATCGTGCTGAATTTTATATGGACGTACATTTGGCGCTTAATGAATGTACTTAACTTGGAGGTGTACCTAACAACTCCAATCACTATTATGGTTGTAAGTGCATCCTGTATATGCTCTAAATTGCCTTCTATTGGTTCAAGTTTGATTTTTTATCCTTTTTTTTGCAAACTATTGTTTAAGACTCAACGTTAATTGTCTAATGAGACTAGCAAATGAAATAATGTATCATTACGCTTTTTTGGACGGGGTAACATAACGCACGTGAATATATGTAATTCTGCCGGAGCATAAAAGAATATATGAATTCTGCGCGATCTAGCCACACCTTCTCATCTCACAGAATGTTCCCTGCACCGATTTTCGTTTTAAGTGTTCTTCAAGCTATTGGATACGATTTTGCCAAAATATTACGATCAACCAGTCATCGGATTCTTTTATGGCCCTGTGGCCTTTATCAGCGCAGTTACCCCTGAGGCAGCCGAGGCCATTCTCTCTAGTCCGAAGTACCTTAACAAAACGTTCCTCTACCATTTCATGGAACCCTGGTTAGGCAGAGGTCTTCTCACCAAGTAAGTATTTCAAGCAATTCAAATTCGAAACAAGAAAAGGTATGTTATGTAATGGCACTGATAGCCTTTCTTTCAGAGATTTTTGTCTCATGCATTTATCCTTTTCAATAGCTTGTATACTCGCTACATAAAAAAATCAGGACAACAGGAATTGAAGATATCCTTTGTGCTGTCTTATGATAAATTGATTTACTTAGTCCAGATGCGAGTAAATGGCGACAACATCGTAAATTACTCACACCGGCTTTACATTTTCGTGTTCTCGACGGATACGAAGCAGTCACGAATCGATGTTTACTTCGTTTGATCGATAAACTGATGAACGAAAATAATAATCCGTTCGATATTATGCCACTAATTAGGATGGTGACGTTTTCCATTCTCTTTACTAAGCACACCCGCCAGGAAACGAACAAAAGACACCACCGTAGAGTTATTTAGCTTACACGAATGCTCACGAAAAAAACTGTTTGTGTATTTCGGGTATAAAATATATTTCTAGGCTATCCGTATCATTAGTAAACATATTTTGCGAAATGGTTACATATAATATAAAAAATGAAAAAAATATTTGACATTTTGATATGAACAAAAACGCCTCCACAATGAGTTCCTACGGATACCTAATAACTCTGGAACTTTTCCTTTGGCAGAAAACAGAGAGCGATATCCCTTACGTGTATTCAACGTACACTTAATAACCTCATGCGCGTATGGTATCTTATAAAAGTTTCCATGTTCTCTTATTTGCACATTACAGAGAGCGCGTTAGGAATACAGCTACGTGAGGATGATCCAGAACATATTGGCTTTTTCAGCAACTGTGATCAGTACGTGAATCATAATCCTATCTAGCAACAGAGGAGTACTCGTTATCCTGTAGAAAATCTGGCTAAAACCCAGGCTAGTCTTTGTGGTCCAACGCAATTGGGTACCTGGCTGTACATTTGAATGAGTGTGCAGGTATACCTATGAATAAAGTACAAAAGAATCTTTTCGTTTTTCTACAGGCTAGCAACTATTATCCTTGCACGTAGGATGACCGTCCATTATTGGGCGGATATGCTATTCACGTGGGCAGCACAATGTAAACAAATGTAGAAGGTGTCAAACCGTATTTCCAGCTATGTGTACAAGGCAAGCCTGGCAAATTTTATCATTTTGAGGTTAAACATGTAAAAGTACACTTACTAAAATTATTTCCTACAAGCTTTAGACTTCTCATTACCGTCCAGCTTCGACTGCCGATTCTAAAAGCATAGGGTTACCCTTTTTTTGTCATTGTTCCATTTATTTGGACAGGTGATTGACCCTCAAATGGCGGAAATGCCTCTAATGTCTAATGAACAGTACGGAGTCGATAAGAGCTTTATGCATATCCTACTGAGCACGCTTCGACGCGGACTTATCGTTAGAGAAGAAGTTTGAGATCACGTTGCCACTTTCATCGTTGGGGTAATTTCAAGATTTATTATGTAGTACATAAATCTACTTATTCTGGATTAAGAAATACAATGAAAACTAACCCAATGGACTATACGCTATCAGCTGCAATAAACATGCAAGCTAGGAATATTTTGCCAAGGTGGAGTATAACTTTGTTACGGAATTTGATCCGTTTACGTAACTTTTATGTCACACTTAAAACTTCCATTCATACCAGATCCTCATGAAGAATACCATGGGCTAGTGAAAGAGAATCAATTGGCTCAATCAATCTGGGGTCGCTCCCAAGGTTCCGCACATTTACTAACGAACTACGTCCCATCTGTAACTGTATGGTTAGCGTCAAATCTGATTCCCTTTATTATCTGTTTAAGAGGTGCTTTTTCCTCTCAATATCTCTGCGGCAGTTGTTGAGCCAATTTTCTACCCACCCGTGGTGCTGCAAATGAGCACAAGTTGTTGAGTATCCGTGTTTGGGACCGCTAGGGAGATTCTGTTTCGCAGGTACCTTTTGTTCTCGTCTTTCCTTTGAAGGTTCTTGTGTTCTGTTATGACTTATTATGCGACTCTCCTGCCCGGGCGATCGAACCACTTCGTGATGGCCGGGATGAGGTCCTTGACGAGTAAATTTTTAATATTCTCATTGAAGTAGCCGCCTATTTTCGGTGACACCTTCTATGATGATGCGTCTTTCTGTCTGTTTTATTTCTATCAAACCGCCGTCTCGGTATCAAAAGCACTTTCTGTCGTTGATTTTTAGGTCCCAGAATGGCATTTCAGTTAATCTTAACATTACAGAGATGCTGACCGTATGCTTGTATTAGATCCTCTGAGTCCTGTAAAGTAAGCTCCTTCATGTTCGATACCTTCATCGGCTACAGCTGGACTTCCAATTGGACGATCGATTCTGCGACCGACATCAACAGCTCGCGGCGGCCTATACCTCTTGATCCATAGAAATTTGGAGAGATCTTTGCTAACAGATTCGCTACTCTGCTTGCCTTAGCCGTAGCACTTTTTATATGTAAACTAACATTAGGCGATGTGTTCAGATTCACTTCTAAATATCTTTTTTTCTAATCATAATCTTCGGTCGTATAAAAACGTTTCTAGCAGCTAAAAGTACCACTAATTAAATCTCGACTCTTTAGAAAAAAGGTATATGCCAGTTCAGCTTTCTGAACCATGTATTGTATTGCTGAGTTCACTGATCAGCAGATTGCGCTCCTCTGCGGATTTCCGAAATCATCCCCTATTATTGTTCCAAAATTTTTGACTAATTAAACAAATGGGTAGGGACCCCAGTAGTCCCTACCCATTTGTTTTCCTATCGTTACGTAGCCTGTCCTTCGTAAAAATTTATCCTGCTACATTTGCAGCTACTTCCGGAAACCCTGTTAAAAGAACTTTTAACTGTTTCAAGGGAAATGCCTTCCGAGTAAAGGCTTTTCACTTTTTAGTTCGGCTGCCAGCTTGTGTTACCTCATTGCCTCATTGCTCATTGCGTATGGTTACGTAAGTGTTTAGCAATAAACAATTCTATAATATAATTTTTCAAGAAAGATGAGAAAGGAGAAAAGGGTTATAAACTGTCTGTATCCTTAATAAGATCGCTCATCCAGCGAACTGTATTTTTTTCTATTGTGTTCTTAGGGTTTTGACACGACCGGAACGTCACTAGCGTACACCTTGCATCTATTGGGGAACAACCCGAAAATATTCAAGCGCCCGCAGCTTGAAGTGGATACGGTGTTACAGAACGAAAAATAACGCTTCAAAGAAGCAGCTTAAAATGATGCCGTACCTCGATGCAGTTTACAAGGTCTGCCAATAACCGGACAATATCACGTAGTAACCTGGCTTGGTGAGAATGTGTGCAACGTTTCCATAGAGCACGCGAGGGAGCCTTTAATCAAATCTTTGTTTGTAACCTTCTGTAGAGTCACTGGCCTATATATTCTATAAAGTATCTCAATTAAATTCTTTAGATTACCAAAGTTCAAACGACACTTTCGTAATACCTGTGATCACTTTTTGGTATTGTAGGGGTCGCTGCGACTATACCTGGTAGTCCCATTGATAGCACGCAACCTCGCACGTCCCATTCGGGTAGGACCGGTTGATGTTCCCGCTGGACCCACAGTCTTGTGCATATCTACCACTTGCACCGTAACCCGTACGTTTGGGACAGACCCAATGAGTTTGACCCGGAACGGTTTCTTAAGCCCGCTGCGAAAAGGCATCCGTACGCCTTTATACCATTCTCCGCAGGACCACGCAACTGCATTGGTACCTACGAACATTATTAGCTCCAGTCCATATTAGATGCTGACTTTTGTATTTTTAAAATGTTACCATATTACGAACGATACTCTTTTTGGCAATAAATTTAGCCGTTAGATTCAATAATATTTCAAATTTGCTAGGATAGTTAATACGATTAATTTAATGCTATATTCCCTATAATAATAATAATAATTATATCAATCTGTTAGTCGAAAGCCAAATCAGTTGCAAAGATTGTCACCAACCACACAAATTTGATTGATTTTGCACAACTTTTTTACAAATGATCAACTCTGTCAAATTTCAGGTCAGAAGTATGCTTTACAAGAGGATAAAATCACTCCAGCGCATATCGTTAGAAATTTCAATGTAAAATCGCATCAGAGGACTGAGGATCTTCGTCTCTCCTTAGAACTGATTCTCAGGCCCCTCGATAGACTTTTCGTTCAATTTGACCAGCGTACCCAAGGGGCACCTACGTAGAGCTCACATTTTAGTGGCATTATTTGGTGCCAGAGTTAGGCAATAAACAACTAACCATGTGTAAATTCACCAGCTAAGTATATTGTATCGACTCATTAAAGAAGATGACTGTTAGAGATAATCTAATAAATTTTGTATAACACTATTGTAGGGCTCTTTAGACCCAGCGAGCGATGAAATGTTTGGATGCCCAACATTTTAAAAATGCCTTAGATGCGGTATCTATATCTAGGAGCTTTATTATAAATGGAATCATTACTATACCGTTCTTATAATCATATTTCTCTAAGCTGTGATTTATTGTAAGAATAGAGTGAACTCGAGGTCACGCAAACAGTGATTTTTGGCTTTCCTCGCACTTAAAGCTATGGCTGCTATTGTATATTTATGTTGGATTCACTTGATTTTTAATCAACGTTTAAATCATATAGTATTTCGATTACTTGCGTAGCAATTTTAATTCTTAAATTACTACATTGTAAACATTGATTAACGTTATTCCGAACGTTCTCCAGTAGTACCAATGTTTTTTAAGAAATCGTTTTTATTTCATTCAAAATATGTGCGTCCTTCATAGAATGAACAATTGCAACGTGAACTCAGTGACTTGTATAGAAAAAGCATCTTGCATTAACAGTTTCTTAAGGACAAACAAATATCAGTTGCTGGATTAATCAGCCAAGCTCTTTTTTTAACTACGCGTACCTGTCGGCAAGATAACGTACGAATGCTCCGGAAGCACTACACTTCTTTCCTGTCTTCTGCTAACTCAGCGAGAATCCATACCGCGAGATCTCGTTAACTCTGTGGACGTGTCGAACGGTAATAATCATTTCCATCACCCTTGAATAGGTTAAACCAGCACCAGGAGCACTCTTTGTCATTGTATTGTACTCGTAAACATACTTTTGCTATAGCATCGAAACCTAACATTAACAAGGCTCGAACAAGCCCACAAGTACTAAGCAGATCCGTTGTATAAAACAATTACACAGTTAGTACGCTAGATTTCGTTAAGCTGCTTGGTCAATGGATTTTGTCCTGCGATGAAATATATTCGTGCTATAAAACGGCTACGAGTTACGGTATGTAAGTAAAACTCGTTTCTCTTCAGTCAGCGGCCTTCAATAGACATACAGGCAGACTCCATAAGAACTTCGTGGCCATCTCCGCGGCCGCAAGGTGAACCAGAGGATTGCTGAGATTGAAACTCACGGCTAAGTTCGTACAGCCCGGAACCAGCGGACGATCTCCTGTGAGTAAATAGTGCGCGTACTTATACGATTTTCACTTAGTTGGATACGACATAAATGTGCGATCATTATGCGGCTTTGGCAAACATCGTTGGCGTTCGTGATGCTTGGAGTTCTCAACGCTGCATTAGAATATGGAATGAGTAAGTGAGCAGACAGAAACCATTCTTAGGTGCTGGATCATCATTTATTAGTTTGGAAGATATTGCGTATACTGGTTCAAAAATTGAATGTGTATTTATACGAATATATACGAGTGTTTATTTCCGATTGAAAAATTTTTCGTTTATGGTTTAAACAATAGGCCTGAAGTCAAATTAAAGAAACTGAATTCTTTTCTTGAAAGAGAAATAGCAATTTATTGCCAGGCCTAAAGGTCGTTCATGACTAAATCCAAAAAATAAGTCAAATACCGTAAGGATAAATAAATATTCAATCATCCACAACCTGCAGTGTTATCTGCCTATCTTGCATCCCGATCAGCCAATCATTCTCTACTGATCCAGTAAATTATTGAGGATAACTAGAGGGAATAATTCATCTAAATAATGCAAATTACAATATAGGTTGTGTTGTTGGAATGAATCTAAACGATCCTGAAGAGACAGAGCGGAACTATCTCTACTCGGAAGAGACACGTGTGTTTCATATTCCTTCTCAAGAAGAAGCTAAAATGATGAGTGATGACGAACGAAGACGTAATGCCAAAAACCTGTTTCTCGAAGAGCGAGAAATTCATTCAGAAGTAGCTGGATCAGGTAGGTGAAGATTATAAATGATCCGCTATAGGGCGCCTTTCTAACCTATCGTCATAACTTCGGTCGCTAACGTTTGCGCGCTTTTCTTGTTATAGCTGTTTACTCGCATGTAAACGCCTAATCGAAAGCGCTGTGCCTTTTGCAGCGGGGCACTTGTGTTTCTAGCACTTTTTCTTGTCCATTGTTGCGTCTGTATATATTAACCGGCATCGCTCATATATTAGGGATATTTACACTTGAGCATACCGTAGAAGCCTACTTATTTAATAGCTATGAATCACTCTTATTCGGGTCGCCGAGTCTATTGAAAGCCAGTCATCGCAAGGGACACTAAGCTTTAATAGTACTGAAGAGTCCTGCTCCTCATTACAGACGATCCCTATAATGGGGACTTATTCAACAAGCGCCATGCGGTAGAAGATATAGTTGTTGCTTCTTCGACGACACCTGAGGCGAACAAAGAAGAAGAAGAAGGGAGTCAAGGAAGCGACTTCTTAAACGCCGGCTCTAACGCTGAGTTGCCATGGGGTAACCTTCAACATGCAAATCTTAATAATACAGGTCTCCATAGTAGCATTTCTGGACCACCTGGTAATCGAAGCGAGGCGTTAGAAAGGAGTTCAACTCCGGTAACCTTCTTCAGCGCCGGGTTAAAAGTAGCGAGCCCTAGTGCTACAGGGAACGGCCCTTCAATAGGAAATCCACCTGTAGGGATTAGTTCAGGAAACGTTAATTTTCTTATATCTTCTGCCACATCTAAACCAAAGGTGTTTGCAAGTACAAACCAACAAAGCAACCAGAAAAGACAAAATCAGGGTACGTTATGTTTTTTTCTGACTAAGCTTTTGAAACGTAAAGGAACAATCTTAAGTTTTCATTTTGCATATACGGGAATTAACGTAAAACATCAGAGCAAAGTGTGAGATTGACCAGTTAAAACAAAGTTAGTATTGGAAATTATATACATATATTAATCGCAAGTGGTTTTGCATGTCAAAACTACAAAGCAGTGTTGGTTCCTCGAACGAAAGCCTTAGTGAGGTGCTTGACACCTCTGTGCACGAGTTACGCACCACACCAACAAATACCTCACTAAAAATTCCTGGAGCTATAATCGCGTTTCTAAGACTTAATGCTGATGGAAATGGCCTTGGTATACCTTCGGAAACAGGCACGTTCGTTTTCTCTGACACGCCTGAAGTAACGGGATCCCTAGCGGATTCAGGTAATAATGAAGATGGCGGAGATTCCAATTCTCAGACGAAACCAGGTGGAAACGAAGGGTCCCCTATTGACGAGGATGAGTGCAAAGATCAAACGGCGGAGGAAACAACGACCATCAGTTCCACCAATAAAAACGGTAAGCCGCATTCTCAGTCTAAGTTACTCTATGGATTAGTATGGATGTTGCGGAATATTAAGCTTTTTTTGTAATTTTATTCATGTTTCGTTTCTTATCGAGTCGTAATGACATTGTTCACTTCACTCATAGGCCAAAAATTACCTCATAACGAGGATGGTGCGTCATGTAGGAAAGTAGGCTCTTGTGAGCCCACCTCGCATTCTGCAGATCTTAGCGACCATTTAGCAGAAAAGGATAAACGGGACTCCAAAATTGCTGATGCAGGCCCGGAAAATAAAACTTCATTATGGAATTATCATCTAAGACCTGGCCATGAGTCCGGCGGGTGTCATTTTGTGCGCGGTAATTGCGTGCACCTCATTCAGAACAATCGGATTTTCGGTCCATTTTCCATTTCCGGTAAGCATCAGTGGTACTAAATCGGATCTATCTACAACACTGATCCTTTGCGTAGACTAACTACAAAAGCTTGACCATACTATAAAGTGTTGTTATGTGCCATACACCTAAAATTAGCAACGCATATGGTAAAAAACCTATTTGTGATTTATCTATCTGTACTGCAGCAACATAAATTTAAATCACTCGTGCTGCAATTATCTAGTGGCATAGATTACTCTACTAATAATATGCAACATAAAGATTAAACTAAGTCATGTATGATTTATTGAAGAATTCAAGTCGAATGTGCTTTATAATATATATTTATCTTTGACTGGCACCTGCAGAGAAACGTTTTAGCAACTAAGTAAAGCCGAACAATGTTTTACATTGGTCACAGGGGCAGACCTCTATCTACTCACAGCGTTTTTATAAAATTTACCTAAATTCTGCAAATGACATTCTGCTTTTTTGTGCAAACACATAAATCCCGTTGTACACGGGCGTAGTGGGCTATAAGCTTTCGAGATCCACACGAGCCAACACTGAAGCGTTAATATAATTGTAGGATCTGTTCTTCTCCTGCTGAGATGTCTTTTTTCAAATGCGTTTGAATTTCGTTTTGCAAAATTTAAGGAACTCAGTAAAAAACCAATTCATTTCAAAGTGAATGTGTTTAATTCTGGTAACCCACAGTCCCGGACGCGCAATTAGGAAGCTTAAGAAAAGATGTCGTCGTAACTATAAACGGACAGAAAATTCCGGGTACATTATACGGACCACTCAAGGCCAAACTGAGGCTCCAGGACGCACCGGATCCGATCCTACCTGACGATATTTCTGATAAATTCTTAATTAATAATTAGAACGATGTTTAAAAAAGTCAACATGTGCTTAAATCTTTAGCCAAAATCACTTGTGAAATTTTTAAAGCGTGCTAGAATCTAACACCTTTTCAACAGTTGTTACACTTCCATGTCGATACACAATGAGCGAAAACAACGTCTTGATTATTGCTATAATGTATAATCCAGCCATGTAATAGAGCTAAGTCACAGAGACAGAAACATTTTGAAGGCATTAGCTAGCACCGATCATGACAAGGCCTTGAGAGTCCTATATAACACAAAAATAGGTAGTACGAATATAATAAATATAGTAATAATTTACTTAACTAACGAACCCGCAAATAAAAGACTGCATCAATTTGCATATTTTTGAACTGGGGACCTTTTTATTCAAAGTTCCCGACGCCACCCTCTACTCTGTTTAGCGAACACCGCATGCAGAAACTGGAATAAAGCTTTGTTTACGAAACTCTGAACTGCTACTGTAGTTATTTCTGTTGGCTGTTATATCGGTTTAAAACTCTCTGACGCCTTCGGAAGCTGAATTTTTATGAGTCTTTAAAATATTATGACGACATGCGTTCGCCGCAAGTTTTCGATGAACGCAGAACTTGTGCGAAAGAAAGTTTGAAATAGGTGGATTTTTTTTTTGTGTCTTTTATGTATACACCTACAGTGGTGCAAAATGCTAGGCTTATATATAGATCAAGCGTTTCCTTGTACTTTGCTTACTAGCCGTCTTCTGACATATAAACGTGCTTGTTGAGCTATAGCTTCACCCAACTTCTCTAGGGCTCAATGACTTAGGCGCTAAGACTAACACGATAGGTTACGTAATGCGGTAATCGCGCGAAAAAGTAACCGGATAGCGGAAGCTTGGCATGAAACTTTCACCATCAAAGACAACAAACACACGAGCACTCGTCTAAGGAGTCTCAATTACACTAATTAGTGTTTCGATTTCAATAAACCAATGGCCTGTATAATTTAGGCAGAGCAACACACATCCAGATGAGAAAGACACACTGGATTTTAGTAAATGTTGATAAAATGTCATTGTCTTTTGAAAATACCTATGATTATACGAATAAATATGGCGACATCGTAACCTTTCAGGTTTCAGTAAAATTTCTTATAAGAAAAACAATATATGATATAGGCTAGACTTTTCTGAGTTTTCATTAATCTCATTAACAAGTATCAGGATGAAGTGGCTCTCGTCACACGACAAGCAGCCCGACACATGTCTAGCATCCGAGATTTTTTTGTCACTCTGTAGTTTTTTTCATCACCCTCTTTAGTAAACCCACTGCATTATTTCAATTATTCCATTACTTTTCTGTGCTACCATACAGTTTGGTAAATCAATAGCTTTGAGCTCCATCTAAATATGATTTGTAACTTCACGGGGGTGAAGCTATGGCCGAATTATTTGTTGTCAGCGAATCCGAAACGTCGCATTGTGATTCTAAACTAGTAAATTCATTTCCTAATGTGATTTTCAGGTTTACCGACTGTTCTAAGGGTTTTCTTATCATACCTACGGATCTTTAACACTCAATACTTGCTAAATTTTTCACCCAAACATTGTGGTTGTTTGTTTATAGATAATTATTAGACTAATATGTATATAATCTATAATAGAAGCATTTATTAGACTATTGTTCTTCAGACAGATGATATTTATGTTTCGGATTTCAATAATAAAATATTAATTATATTTTTTATAATATTTATTATAACAATTTTACGCTCAAGCCATACCGTAAAGTTATATTTAACTTTACGGCATTTCTGTTTTCTGTATTATGGTATGTAATAATACCAATTTATTTTCCATTTATAAAAGGCCATGAAAAGTTCTTTTGAAAGGGAAGACTAGTTAACCGTCCGCGGATCGTGGTTGCTGCTATCTTCAGAACGGTTTGGGACAAGTTGAGTGCAATTTGCATTGAAACAGCGCAGTTTGAAGCAGTCGAGCCCGCGAAGCTGATCCCCTACGAAGGCGCTAGGAGCCGAACAGTAACCAAGAAGGGTACGCGAGTTACGCCACAAGACAATAGTCTCCGACAGCCACGACATCAAACAATCGCATATGACTGGGTTACCTGAACAATTAAGCAATAATTCCGATTAGCATACGATCAGTAATACCTTTTAAATATATCTTAATAATAATAATAATAATATCTTTTATTGCTATCGCATAGCTTAAATGAGCAGCTCTAGCAACAACTTCTATGGCAATACATTCCGCTTCAGCTCTATACGTCTAATACGTATGTCATATTGTACCATTCCAACACATACCCTTGCAGTCGGCTGTATTGACGGTCTTCATGTTACGTTCTGTATATTCAAATGATAGGTATCTACGAAGACAACGTCTATATGTCTATAGAAGTGGACCTAGGAAAAAAAAAATAAGGCACCATGTATGTTTAGTTTCTAAGGAATGCTCTTTGCGCACCTCTAACGTCTACTTCCTCAAGCGAAGGCTGTATCTTGAACCATACGGGACTAAACGTAGAGTGCTTGAGCGTGTGGATTCGGTTGTTGGCTAAATACAGACGACGTAGCCTTAGCATTGATGCAAATAAATCGTCCTCAAGATCAGTCAAGCGATTGTTTCTGTAATTATCGATGAAGATAATGTGAATGTTTGTTGAAAATTACGCGGTTCACGGCGGGATTTTACAAACAAGAGAAAACGATGCGCCGAAAATGATTATATCTATAAAGTTCAAGCAAGTAAGCTCATTTATTCGCATTACGTTTTATTGAAAAATAATCACTAATTAAAGCGATATTAAAAAATCAATGTGTGTATTTGCTTAAATAATTACTACTTTTGGTAGGTAATGTATGGAGAGACGAAGCTATCAATCACTCTAGTTGGCTCATTACAAATCGTTGGGTTAATCTTAACTGCTCTATTTTCAATTAACAGTAAAAGATTCACCATCGGTAACTTACTCCAGATGTAGGATCTCCAGTTTATCGGGGAACATAGTACGTTGCAAAGAGCAGATTCTATTCTCAGAAAGATCAAGGAAGACTAACTCGTACACGTTATGAAGGGCAAGACTTTCGATAGCTTCGATGCGATTTCCTTTTAAAATAAGAGACCTGAGACTGGACGGAGGAACCGAAAACCACCGTCGCCGCAAAAAACGAAGTATGTTGTAGCTCAAATCGATTTGTTCAATATGATCAAGGGCGGTTAACTTCTCCAGGGTCATATCGGCACGCTTCCAGGAACAGAAAGAAAACCAGATTGATACATACATTTATGTGTTTGTTTCATTAATATGATAATTAACTTTCAGAGCACTCGACCTAATATGAACGTCTTCCTCTATAGTTTCTAGTAATGCTATGCCTATTTAGACTCCGAGTGGATAATGCTTATAGCCTGCGTGTACATGTGGATAACAACTTTTTGTTAGAAGAGACTATCATTAGGGTTATATTCAATATCGCCTTCTCCGATTATGCAGAGCTTCAGTTTTTCATAGGTCAGTACCTAGATCGTTTGCGTTACAATGGGTCGAACATGTCATGAATAAGATGTACAGGTTAGTATGGCGACAACAGGAAATGCTTATGAGCTCTGAATTTTCTTTTAATTAATTTAAATCTAATTAATTAAAATACATTTTAAAGTCTTGAAAGGTATATATGTATATCTTTATTGAAGTCAAGTACAGTTCCTGCTGACGCAGAAACTTACCATGTTGCAACGCCGCAAAGCCAATGATATAAGAGTTTGCTCTAACCCAAGAAAAGGCGTGGAATCTGGAGAACTGAAGGCGGATATATCCACCCCGGAAAGAGTGACTTCGGACAACGGAAGTCCACTAAACAAATTAGCAGGAATCGATGGACCGATCTGAAAGAATCAAGAAAAAAAATGGTTGAGCCTACCCAAAGCGCAGATTTCAGTGACTAAAATCTTAACCTGAATAGACAACTGGAATTCGCATTTAGCACAAAAGATTGTATTTACAACAGTGACTTTTGTTTTAAAGAGATTGTACATTTGAAGGCAGTGTATGCGAATCTTCTCGGCTTAGCCCCCATGATATCCTGGTTTAACTCAATTACGGCACGTCACTGATCGAAATCATTGACTCAGTCGAATAAAGAATTCTCGATAAATACTTTTCATCGATCATTTTACTTGTACCCAACGTTTCAGATTTTTAGGTTTTTCTTACACATGTAATAATTATTTAAGCAAAATGATGTACTCGTCTAAAATTGAGTTTGTAAATGGATCGTCTTGTTTCGGCTTAGCCCTATGTACAAACCCTGTGCTTTTATTGAAAAAAGGTATTATCTTATTTTTTCACAGGGTTAGATCACCTCTACACAGATCCTACATCCGTGAAATTTCACGAGCAGCGTACAAAGAGAGGGAACGCCGATGGACAATCGACCCTTTAGTGGTTGTACTAACGGTGGAACCTTAAACACATTCCGCAATGAAAAGAGCAGCCCTACTGACAATGATGCGGATACTATTTTACTCATCCATATTTGCAATCATAAAGCAGACGCCTAAAATGATTGTAGCGTTTCCCTTAGATATGCTAACGCATTCAATGAGTAAGTAAATGATCTATGAATTTTTCGCTGTCGAGTTGATGTAATAGTTTATGGTTAGCCCAGAACGTTCCCACGACTTTTTGGGTATAAATTGAAATCAAATAATCACCAAATTGGCATCCAAAGTGGATCCAGCTAACAGCTGGTAGTCTCTGTCGAGACGTTTATGTCGGTAACCGTCTTCAAAACTGGCCTTCCCCCGTCCTTACCTATATGCCTTAACCGCGTAAGTCACGACGTGTGTGCTTACACACAACGATGACCTCTATTGAAAATTTGCAAAGCATCTATCTATAAAGTTAAATCTGCTATTCTTCGAACCAGGTTGAACGAACATTGGCAGATGCAGTCGTTGGCTAAAGGGTCAAGAACGTGCTTTTCTGTCTGCTGGCTTTTCAAAGTCCCTGCCTCTATCGATCGCCAGTCAAATATTTAACGAGCACTTTTCGACTTCTTCTATACACATTATATTCGGAGCTGTCCAAAAGTAATACTCTATTTACAACAATATTTCCTTATGTAGCTCGTTACCTGATCGTCCCAAACAGATGTCGTCGCGTATGTACGATTCAACCGCAAAAATATGACCGTATTTTTCCTTTTCCAACATCGATAACGGGAAACAAACCAGTATATATTGGCTTAGCCTTTAGCTGGAGACGATTTCCATAAAACGCTTTTAACCTGCTGCTTCATATCGGAGCAGTGCTTATTCAGCCCACTCGTGGTGGGGTATTCCCTTGGTGATCGGAGCTGCTTCTGCACCGAAGCAGTGAACGAGCTGACTTTTTAAAGTCTGCGACAACAACACAAGTCGTTCTGGATCCGAAGCCGGCTAAGATGACGATGGCAAATCGACCAACTCTATCATATGTTCAGCCGTATCTGGATAGTAAAAAAGCACCGTGGGGAAGCCATAGCTTGCTTGCTGAGCCAAGGTAAATTCACGTCGAGGAAAGAAGCAAGCAGACACGTATATGCGCATAACACATATATTATTTGCATATATTTGTCTATTTGCAAAGTGTTTCTATTAAAACACATTGTTGTCTCCATCGAGTAGTCTTACTCTGTATTCATCTATTTAGAAGAATGAATTAGGAAAGAACGAGTCATCAGGTCACTTCTCCACCGCCGTAAATCTACTGCCTTCTTCTCGATTTACTGTTAAGCAGAGTGACAAAACGTCAGTATACTATAGAACAGTAGTTCTTCCCAAGCATCAGACCTCCGCATCAGTGATTTCTTTGTGTGCACAACGATATGAGCCAGGGTTAATGCCTGTATCGGCTGACTGTTCGGTGGCTGTTAACAAATCGTTAATAGTTTGTGTATCTGCACATTCGCCAGCCACACGGTCTTCTACATACTCTCCCCGTATGACGATTTCTATCGCGATTCATTCAATGGAGGGTCTTACTTGAGCTGTCTTCAGTTGCCTGAGTGTCGTCGGACGAATATTTCTTCTGTCGCCTTACTTCTTCTCTGTTAAAAGCGTTCAATTGACGCTTACATACAAGCGACTTGCATGTCTGTTAGAGAGAACAGGAATCCTTTTAGACGCCTATCACAAAAAGCATCATTGTCCGGCAATTTCCCCCCCTAACTGCACCATAAGCACCAAAGCGGCCCTGCTACCAGCACGACAATTGGTGCTGTCGCCGCCGGCCGCGAGACGAGCGTAGTAATATAGTTAGCTTATCGCGTCGTCCTTTTCACCGGATGACGACTACTGACTAGTCTCGCTATAATCAGATCAGGGGTGATCATGAAAAGTGAACAAAACTCCTGCAGTGATGGTTGATCAGTGCCACGATCTGTCTGAAGGTCGAAATAGGACTACTGGCAACATAACTGGCTAGGGTAGATTTGCTTGGCCAGATGCTGGCCACAGTGGTCATTCGGCTACCTTTGTTTGTCTATCATGGTCAAGCTTTCGTTACAAGGTCTGTGCATAGTGTTTTGTGTGTGTGTGTGTCTGGCTGGCTGATATGCGCCTACATAACGATATGCTTGCCTCCCACGTAAACAGCGGCTCCAACAGAGGCAGCAGCGGCGGCAGCAGCAGCGGCGGCAGCAACAGCAACAGCAGCAGCAGTAGCAACAACAACAACAACAGCAGCAGCAGCAGACGATATTGCCGTCATCGTCCGCTAACGGTGATAGAGCGACAGCTGACCATGTAGTCTTCGCTTCTATATAACAACCCCCGACTTACGTCGTCGTTAGTCTGCTGGCCAAGGAAGAAATGATTTTGTTGGAAAGCAGCGCTTTGCAGCTATACTTCGACTGGGGAGCGGCAGTGGCTGTGGACCGAGGAAATATCAATAGCAGCAGTAGTAGTTCCATCACCTACTGCAGACAGATCCTGCTGTTGCCACTGTCGCTTTCACCACCTACTGAAGATATCACATGAGAGACGCGTGGCTGGGGCGACACACGGCAGTCGAATGCAATGAGATGGGGTAAAGATAGGATTTGGGCAAACACGCTGGCCTGATCCAAACGTCTATTGACGCTCTATACACATGACCGAAATCTGCTGGGAACATGAAACTGCATCTAATCGACTACAATAGCAGCGATGGCAGCTACTTCTTGAGTGCACAACGGCAAAAGGGGTCGACGTAACGGGAACATATCGCATTGGAATTTGTCGGCAATGGCCGGAATATTCTGTCTGACGCGAGCCGGGGAGAAACGACTAGATAAGACGGTAGCAATAAGAACAACAATAGCAGCAGCAGCAGCAGCAGCAACAACAAGATACGATAGGTGCCAGCGATGGTGCTGCCTGCTCATCACAAAGTAGCCAAGCGACTATGCCACGTCCTGCTAAAAAATAGCTACGATGAGCTGATTGAAACCAGGAAATGGCAAATCGACAGACGAGCGCATGGACGATGGATGTGCAACAGAAAAAAGATAATGCCAGCCAAACGCTGCTTGAAAATATTGCACTTTCTTATCGACTTGACCGCTGGCTGACCTATTGTCTCTCGCTGGTTTCGTTTACTATGTAAGGAACCCATTCGCACCTAGCTATGATTGTTGGTCAGACAGGTAACACGTTTGATAGAGATGTTTGCTTAGCAAATTTCTAGAGAAATTGGGATAGTATTACCTGTAATATGTATATAGACACAGTAGGATTGGAAAAAGCAACCATATGATTTCAAAAAATACTTATCGATATATCCGCCACTAGTTATTCTATCTATGCGCAGTTGATTACTTTAGCTTGAAAAAATTTATACTCACGACGCATGATGTGCGATAGATATGTAGTTCAGAAATTTATTTAAATAATAATTTATATATCTTTATTGAAACATTGTCGTAGACGTATAGAAGCATATTGTTGAGCAATATGTCGCGCGGGAGGCTAGGCATCTACACCACCGGTGGCCCACACATGCGACGTAACGACCCGATTTTCAACGATAATTTTTTTCGAGAAGTGGCCTAAAGCTATAAGTCATTCGAAAAATTATCGTTATATAACAGAGGAAAGAGGCTAGACTATAGATACAAGTTGTAAGCACACGCATAGAAGGCAACCTAAGTTACTCCCTAACCTACTGAGCATCAGAACAATAAAGTTCGAAATACAATATTCACACACGACGTTACGTTTATACAATACAGCATATTATATATATATATATATTAATAGCCGTATACTTTGCTTTTGGGCAACACATCGTTAAGGTGTCACTGATCTGCGGCAGGACGCGGTCCGTGTAGCAGGTCCGGGCCGAAATATATGGCTTAAAAGCAGCCCTACATTTTGTAGACCACCATCTAATGACATATTGCACAGCTGTTTTTGTTCGACTAATTAAGAATATTTGAGTTTTTTCGGCTACAGGGATTACAAGTTTGGATCTGACCATCTCAGAAACCTGTAATTGTTCGAGTTAAGTGTAGCAAAAGAAAAGCACAAATCGTTCAATATAAACGTACTTTACACTGTTTTATGCAAAGATATGCGACTAGATGGTCAGATATTTCGCGAGCTAGTCTATATTACACTGTAGTTGTAGTACGTCATTGTGGTTCAGCTTTTATATATTGTCGATCTGAATCGTACATAGAACAATGGTTAGGATACTAGGATAAAATTATGTCCATATAATATAGCGATTATGGGACAAGGTCTTCGTAAAGGGTAACATTTGCTTCATTCAACTCTTTTGAAAAGGTCATATGGGGCCGGTGATGCTGTTGTATAAATTGCTGAAATACTTGGACTATTTAGATATAATATACACCTTATAATAAAATGTTTACTTAAAGCAGTAGCCAAACACTTTTGTCATCTACGTACGTATAATTAAATACTCAATATTTCGCTTAAATTTGACTTTAATTATTTAGAACATACGAGATATGGTAAGAGAAGTAAGTTTACATAAGTTGTCATTGAAATATCATTAAACAGATAGAATTTTAAGCTAAAAAAATATATTAAGCAGGTTCGAGCTGATGTCATATTGTAATATGCGCTCATTCCATGTTGTCGTCGTATCAGCAGTTCATTACAATGCTAACTAGATGCAATGGCAACGTCCAACGTTACTGCCGCAACAACAATAGAATATTAAATCTACTACGATTAAAAGCGGGATGGTTTTTACTCTTAAGATTAAAAGCAGAGGCCACAAGGCTCGAATTAGCCATACAGCTGATTGTTACAAAATAGAAAAAGAAGAAGTAAATTAGTAACCGTAATGTCAGCAGCTATGGCAATAGCAGCGCCCTATCACGACAACCTTTGTTGTCTGTTGAAAAAGCGCTGACGCCTATTCCTATAATTGTCGATTACAAAATATACACAGGTATCGATCTACAGGTAATACTAGGAATAACGAAAAAACTTCAGTAAATAGAAAACGTAGCGCTGGGAGTCTTCGTCTTATCACTATGAGAAGCTCTGTCGCTTTCAAAGAATCACGTCAGGATAATGTAATGTACAGCTTATCCGGTTCCAGAGACGCCGCCGAGCAAGGCGTGTGTACTTTTCAAAAGCACGCGGGACTAATTAAGATCAGCACAATCTAGCCCGCCAAGTATCTTGATCTACTACTACTACTACTACTAGGCATCAAGCTGTCAAATTGAAAACCAAAATGAATATTGCTCTATTTGGCATTAGACATCTTTGTTAGCATCTAAGAGTCCGTAAAGAAATTGTTACCTCCGAAATGCAAAACTCCGCGCGCTAGAAATATTTGAATGAACTTCGGGTGATTTTTTAAGATTTTTCAACCTTTCTTCAGATTTCTAACAGGGTAAAATAAGGTTCGCTAGATACACGTAACCAGTCTCCATTGTCTAGTATAATTATGTTTGAGAAGCGTTTCAAAATTTTCAAGATCGGCGAACAAAAGTCGTGCAGCTCAACATAGGGTCCTTCGAAATGTTTCGTTAGCTTATAAGAGGTCATCTTTAGTTTATTTCGCATCGCGACCTTCAGCCTATAGGAGATTATAACGTTGCAAAAGCAAAAACCCGTAGCGACATCTGTGAATATGTTCCGCTTTATGTGTTGCACAGTAAACGTCAGACGCCCTAGGGCGGGATATGCGGTCAAGACATAAAGAACTTCAGGTGCAATCGTAGGAGCAAAAAAAGAAACAATAATGAGATTATGCTCGTGCAATTAGAACAGTGTTCGTTTCGTAATCTCAAAATTAGACGCGGGCTAGTTCAAATTGTGTCATTATCCACCGGTGATGGAATGTCTAACGTCGACACCGGACGTAAAGTTCGAAGCATACAAAAGACTACTCGCAAAAGGTGAGGTATTTGTCTGCTAATTATTTATTTTTATTTAACAAACGCCGTTCGTTTCGTGCTGTGTGATGAAATGCCTAGCGGTGATGCCGAGCCTAAAATTTGAAACGTAGAGCAACTACCGACAGAACGCTAATAGAAAAATTAACAATAATGATATGGATTGGACTTTTTTAAATTCAATTTCTTCATGTACGAAAGGATATTTTTCGGAAGAGCGCATTCGCCTTTCGTCGAATAGCCAGTCAGCCAAACGAAATTAAAATTAGAGTTTCGTTGATCCTCGAAGATTAGAAGACCTGAGGAAGACGGGCAAAGAGGGTATGACGATTGTGGTACTTATAAACAAGTACCACAATCATAATAGTCGTATTAAATTGTTGTCAAGAGTATTTAGACTACTGTTAGATGTGTGTACGATTTGGTGTCCGTTTTTAGGCCTTATACAAGTTGCCAATGTTCAAACACATGTTTACTAATTGCTATTCTGTGCGAAGTACATATAGAAATGACTTATTGAAGTGGGATAATTATAATCTACGAGAGCAGCTGTGACGGTGAAATGGACATAAATAACTCGAGCTTGATTGAGTATGCAAAAAACAATGGAAATTGTAACGCCATTTCCGCAATATTAGCGATTTCCACAAAACGGTGACTAGTCCCGTCCAGTCTCATAATCGTGAGCAGCAGATCGGGACTTTCGCTTGGCAAACTAATTGCCGGTTAGTGACCCCTTAGTCGGGATTTGAATGGAAACCTTACACAATTCATGGGGGCCACTAGTTAGTTGGATCTCGACGTTGTAGAAGTGATAAACGCTCAAGTAATTTCTTGACGCTGACAAAACAAAATTGAACTACTTAAATTTTCTAAAATGAAACCATAAATAATACGGAATTATGAAGCTATCCAGCAGAACAAGACGCTTTTCTCAGTTTGTATTATACGACCAATTATATGGAAAACACTAGCGAAGATATATACTACCTGAACGACGGTCTAGAAGACGTTGTGATTTTGAATATTATATAAAGTCACATTGTTGTTGCATATTATGTAAATACTGCTCAACGAGAAATGCAAGGCTTTCAATAACAGAAGAAACAGTTTAAAAAAAATCAAATTATAATGTCTAAAACGCGTTACACGTATGCAGCGTATCGGTATTATGTATTGTAAACGATCTATGCACTGCAGGCCTATTTATGTATGCGACCCAGCTGAGCGAAGCTAACAAATCGAGTGCAATACCTTCAGTTCGGGTTTTTCCAGTATATCAATAATGAAAACACCGGTTTATCTCAGAAGCTCGATCAGCGTTTTCAGGTACAGACATTGTTAGTAGGAATTAGTAGTGCTTGAATTAGGCACGATATAACGCGAACGGATCTTAATAAGTAGTTGGCTAGGTACAGCTAATCAAATGCCGTAATCAGGGTCAACTATCTTGGCCTAAAACAATAGTAAGACGCATACTCCTTGCGTTCACTGATGCGTCTATCATAAACGGTCAATTAAGCTATAAGCGTACGGTAAGTAGCAGCGAGGTATCGATGCAAAATGACCATGATACTCTCGAGACAAATAGATGGCATGGAGAAATTTTGTCAAACAGAAAGCTTATACCCTGTTCTAACCGATGATCACCCATTTGAGGATATATGAGAAACGGGAAATTACGGGAAAAATAACGTGTATGTAAATGCAACATTTCTAGGTACGAATCGGTTTCGAATGGCCAAGTCAAGTAGAGGATTATGTTCTAACTCGAAGGGTACATGACTTCGTAAGTATAGCGCTCGCACAGTTTTTGATTCCAAAGTTTCTGAGAGCTTTATTTTGATTTTACGTTCAGACTTGATGATTTTGTCAAGCGATTTTTATTGGTCCCTTTACAAAATGGTTTCAGCAACTATATACCATGTGTGGCTGTTTATTTTACTATGCCCTGTTTAGTTTGCCCCGTTTGGATCGTCAATTTTTACTACTTGCTCGACTAGCAAAAAAGCAAACAATCTCTTTCATCCAGCAGCAGTTCGCTCCTGTGAACAGGTATTGGCCTATTTGCTCACTTTTGTCAATAGAAGGTCCTATTATTTGCTGTAATTGCGGACGGACACTCTGCTCGCAAGAAAAACCAGGATAAATATTAATGCTAGTTATATTATATCATTATCCAAGTTATAATGCCTTTAGTTTGCAGAGTTTCGCCCTGATTCGTTAATGCCAGCCTTTGCAGAAATAATCTAATATGAATATTATATAGAAAACAGCCCTGTTGTGTTGCAGACTAGTTACTTCAATACCTCTCGATCTACTTCGCGGCTTCGCTCTTATTGCCGCGTTTTGCATCATGTGCATTCACTGAAAACATATCATTGAGTTATTCTATTCTGAATGCTAGATATTGCCAATACGAGAAATGATGGTCAACGTTTTCGTTGGTTTTGGAGCAATTAACAACACAGACGGCCATTGCAAGCAGCACAGCAGCACAAATCAGTTAAGCCCACAAATCACGAGTCAACGCTTAAGAGCAGCTTTGCCATCTTCAGACGCTATCCACTGAACCCGCAAAATATTCAAGATGATTAATAGATACATGTAAAAGTACTAAAGTAGCTAAAACATACATACCGTATATGCTGAAGCGGGTCGATGACCACAAATTTAATTTTACGTACATTGAGCGTTGTGCTGGCCCTTTTTTCAGGAAATGCGAAAAGAGCATATCTTTAAGCTTCATGTGAAAACGACTATTTTAACTAAAATTACGGTAACGTACCTGAATTCTATAAAAAGTCCAATTAATATATATATATATAACTCTTAAATAAGACTTTCAGTGAGCCGTCCCTTATAAAGACGTAATAATATTTGCTGCTACGAGGATCGCTCAATGTGTGTCTGTAATTTGGATAAATGTATGAATATATAATTTAATTAAGCACAAACGAATAATATATGTCTATGTGAAAGTGAATAGATAACCATGTAAACTATATAGCTTGATTATATACGTTTAGAATATATATATTTAGATTCCTTAGAGGTACTATGTCAGCTGTGTTGTTAATATTAATGTGAGTGGTTTCACTTCAACAGTTAGCTATCTATAATAGGTCTACTAGTATAAGGCAACGAAAAATGGTAGTGGAGGTGATTGAAGCTAGTAGATCAACGTACCGGTGAATCCAATATGTGGACGGCATCAATCTGATTTCCCTGCAGCGCTCTGAATAGTTTTGTCAGAGCTTTAACATCATTGACCTTCTGACATCGCAGTGTCACTCGAGGTGCAGGTGGTGCACTGAACTTGTTGACACGGTAAGCCGTATGTGATGTTGAACATGTGCAGTTGGTGAGGTCGATTGATGGACACTTACCAGACGTCGAAGCTACGTAAATAATGATTTTTACATAAAACAGAGTGAAGCCAGCGGGCATCCTGCAACAAAAGAGGTACCCAAGAAGAATATGGCTGTAAAGTGATCATCATTTAACCCTTGATTAAAACCCACTTGCCACTATATCGTACGTCAGCCATACGATCAAGTGTACTCACGATAAAAACAGCAGTGTGGTTCATTCTGCCTGCTAATACGAGGAGCTTGTTAAATAGTACTGGTTTAGAGGTGGTCTGGGTTCAAAGCTGAGCGTAGATATACCCTATTCTGTGCTATGGTTTAGTCAGTTAGTGGTTAATTGGCACGGTAAAAGCTGAAACATATTGTATTGTAATGTATTAATTTGACATTGGAGCATACTAGTCATTTCCAGCCGGAAAAATCTTTATTGTCTACGTAGAAACAGTATGTTACATAAAAGTAAAATTGCTTCGAGAAGTACGCATCTTACCATCGCGCGACTGTACGTAGGGTCTGCAAAACACGAACAATGATAAATTTGTCTGAAGAGGTCGATGTAAATATGTTTCGAAGTACTAGCGTGACTAGTGCCGAAATGAATATATATCGAAAAATCCACGTGTCTTCGTGGAGTGTCATCTCATTGCTTGTGTTCATTTATCTTCGACAAATAGCATATGTTTATGCAAACGTCAAAAAAGGCCAAAATAAAGAAAAGTAACAAAATATAAACTTTGACCTTTAATGTTTCTAATTCAGTAACCAGAAAAATGACAATTTGTAAACACGTTATCCCAATCGATACTGCTTGCTTTGGGGAACAGGTAATAAATACCATTCTTTATTCACGAAAGCTGTCTAACACATGTCGTTAGCGGGACTCGAAACATCGTCCTCTGATTTTTTTCACCAGAGGCTTGGTCGTCTACCTTGGCGAGCAGACGACGACTATTGTTAAACATGGCGGACGGTTCATTTGTTAACCGATGACATTGTCCAATCACACACATACATGGCGTCGGCCGCTATTTAATACCGAGACGCATCCAGCAACGAGAACTATGAATCAAATTTTACGATTATTTCAACCGCGCCCAAAACTGCGCTGTCCTTTGTCGCCTTCGCGTGTTATAGCTTTATTCAGTGACGTGCAATTAATTGCTGGTATAAAAGGCAACACCTGTTTCGCTTATTGCTCATTTACAGTACAAACACAATTGCTTGTTCCTGCTCCGACGACATTCTATTATTTCTGCATCTACGATAGTAGTAAAATACAGAAAATTGTCGCGGCCATACAGAGGTCGATGTCCCCAAGGGTAGAAAAATCCGCGATGGCCTGTTTACGAATTGCCACCCGTTCACGAGATGCCCATTTCAAATAACAGGAAGAGGCTACGTAGAGTTGTAGGGTGTCGAAATGACCATTCTCTACTGTCGAATTTACGTTTCTTCTGCCACTCAACATTGGGCGGCCATTTCTGTTCAGCATGTTACTCATTTTGAAGGAATATATTATATGACACTATATTTCGAACACTATATATATATACATATATATATATATATATATATATATATATATATATATATATATATGTGCGCCAATGGTTAATGCATTTGCGACTTACTGCGTTTATTGCTATCCAGTTTGAGATGGTCGCACCCACATACGTAATCGTGACGCAATCGCTCAATCAACAATTCCTATCTGTTTCGGATAAACATCAGAACGTCAATGACGAACCAACCGTGTTTACCTTTGACGATTTTTATCTAATAATTATGATGAGTATGGACATATAAGTTTGATCAACAATCTGCTATTTTTGTGTACTCGCTCCGAAGGGTCAGCGAAACCATCCTATGCTATACAACACCATCGCAGCTCTGGACGTAAGACTCGAAAACATTTTTTTCTTGCCGTACTTTTACTTGGGTATATCCAACGCTAAGCGACCATTTTCGAGATACTTTTTAGATTAGAACTAGAATTAGAATACAACAGAAAAGCCGATTAGAGTAAAGGATAAGCAAATAGACGCAATTTAATGTCTATGTCCATTACTAATCAGCTTCGTCATTAATGGGCAGAAATCTAAGTAACCAGATTGTTTGTGGGCATCGATTTCACTGCACTGCGCCGTTTCAACAATCTGTCACAGTGGAGGGCCTTTTGCGAAAAAAGAAATAGTTGCTGAGTAGCAGAAGCGATCACAATGTTTATTGCTGGATCTAATTTTCACTTAAAGGCCTGAAGCATGGCTTCTTGTTAGTAGAAAGAAATGTTACGTCTTACACTGCTGCTAACGGCTTTGTATGGCATAAAAAAATACGTAAGTAAAATGGCCGGCTTTGATTTTTTATTGGTCTAAAAAAGTAGCGGCTAATTTTTCAACCGCAAACTAAGTGTTGCGTTCAAGGTATTTGCCTAATACTAAACACACGGCTTACAGACGCTATAAGCCCCGTAACTTAATAACTTAGGGCACTACCTTGAACCATTTGTGTGTCACTTTGGACATCGTTTCCAATCTAGATCACGTCAAGCATTCATAAGTTCAATATGTAGACATGCTACAACTACACAATCATTGTGACAATTGGACTATTTTGAAGAGTCCAGTAATTATAGTAGACATTAGTCTACTGATACGCGCAGAATACTAAGGAACTAGTCAAACATTAATTTTAAAAAATGACACCTTTTGTTAGGTCGCACTTCCCTAATCAATCGATCACGTATATTTATTCGGTTCTGCGCAGTGACCATTATCCTTATATCTTTTAGTATTTATTTATTATAATTATTATCATAAATTAGAAATCATTGTCTTGATCCCTATGCTTTTCTATTTATTTAGTGTTCAGTCAATGTTGTCGCATCGTCCAATGTACAGCGAACGGTACGTCTTACGTTCAGATTGAGGAAAATCAATGTTAACTACATACCCGCTAGTTTCAACTCTTACAGGAAAAAAAAATAGAACGTGTTCTCTTTCGTGGTAATGGCGAACTTGTTTAGTAACCAAGTTTTCGCTAGAGTGCCTGACCTACCAAATTTAAGTTAAGCCTATACGATTGTTACGAAAGGCATGCGCATTTTTTACATTGACATTTTGATGAAACTGTTATGACTGAATGGGAAATCTCAATTCCTGCGAGGCTGGCCGCGTTTCCAACTCGTCCGGTCAATTCACGATTATCGTCAGCATGAACGAGGTACAGTCGATGATGGATTGATCTTTTAGTCGTCGCTGTCGAGATGACGTGCGTTACGTAGAAGCAACTCGACGGTGGGGATGGTAAGAGCAGCCGCTGGGTTTAGTAAGAGTGGAAAGCATTGCAAAAATTTTGTTACAAGACAGATACTAACGCAGATAGGCCAGGGTCCGATACTGGCTTATCTTACACAATTGAACTTCTGCTTGTCCCGGCGCTCTCTGTACCGACAGCAGAGTTATCAAACCAAACTGTAAAAACCAAGAAGCAGTATGACATTTTATCGATGGCAGCATCCTGGTAACTGCTATACTGTGATTAGGCGCTGTGTTGAATTGTTGTTATGTTGTTTCAACGCAGAATCTGTAAGTTTAACGAACGAATGAGTAAAGCGAACAACTTTGCCGTTGTGATCCTTTCGTGCTTCACGACGCTCTGTTGATGGCAGTGGCGAAATCTGGCCGTGGGGTGAGTGATGGCTCTGGTGTTGACCTTGTCCTGCGGTCAACGTTACAGACTGAGACCTGATTATTGCAGTGTTCCCCAAAATGAAGCGCTGGATTAACCGTTGTCAATAGGATTGCCGCTGCTTTGAATCCCCTTTTTGGAGCGCTCGAAAAAGAACGTAAAAGCAGTTTGGAAACGTCGCAGTTGTACTCGTCGATGGAGCCCAGGTCGGTTTCTAACAGCGTTTCAAGCTCGAATGAAAAAAGTCGTCGGCAACCGGCTTAATTTCGAAAATTCTAGACAGTTTGCCACAGTGGACCCGGAAGCTTGATTCTCACAATCAGCTGTTCTGTTCATTTCCTCAGCTACACCGGTGGACAGACAGCAAAAACTCGAATGCGGTTCGATTTTTCGCCTGCATAAGTAACACCCATTGCAAATAACGTAACATTAGTAATTGCCTATTAAAATTAATGGAAGTAATACTCTATCATCGCAGTGGGATATCTTCAGAAACGACAGCAGTGCACTCGTTGTTTACTTGGGTTAGATGTATCGCGGCTCTGAGTCACTAAAGAAGATAATTAGTCGTAGAGACTTTTGCACGTCTACAGGTCGCTAAACCTCCGAATCACCCTGTTCACCCTTTAGGTCGACTACATTTCTCCTTTTCGCATCTCTTTTGTGGTCAGCTTTTCGTCCGCCATATTCTCGGAAGGCAGCTGCCAGGGTCAGAGTAAGTCTCCTTGCGGAATCCTTACTCTCGCACACAAATGCATGGCACTCGAAGGGTCCCTTGTCGCTGACGATGATCATAGCGACAATTTTAGCATAACTGACATCCTGTACTCCGTATGAGATGCATTCGATCGGATAAAACTCTTCTTCACTGACCACGGGCCCAATTTCAGTGAGGGACACTCCCCTGGGCGAAACGGACAGCCTGACAAGACGCGGTTGGCATTGGGGTCTCCGTGCCGCTTCCACGAGCTCATCTACTGGTGACCGCGTGTGTCGTAAGCCCCATAGCCCTGAGGTGGCTCTGCTGCCAAGATGTCGAGTCACTACCGTCCAGTTCGGAGCATAATCTGCTTCATTGACAGTGCATACGAAGCTGCCTTCCATGCGCGGCGATGATCTCTTCGGTACAGCAGACATTCCAGGTGGAGCTACCGGAGATAGATTACCAGGTAGTCTGGAGAAGCTAGATAACGCTGTGCCAACAAGGTGCGATGCACGAGTTTCCACTTCCATCGTGTTGCCACTACTAGTAGTATCGCTACTACGACGAAAGCTCGAAGTCTGTCGTGAGCTGCCGGTACAGGCGCGCCGCCAATCAACGCCAACCGATCGACGACACACGGCTGCGGCTGCTGCTGCTGGCTGGTTGGCAAGGGCATTATAGAACGCGCGGAGAGGGTTGCTGTATGGTAGAAGGAACAGTCTGTGTTTGAACTAGACCGTCGTCACCGCCGGCGATCCGCACGTCAAGACCTTTGCGTAAGCCTGCAGCATTGCGCATGGACAATATCCGCTTATTTTGATCCGTTTCTCGCATGAGAAGCGCACACATATTATCTATACTGTGAACTCTTACTCGTTCGGTAACACTGGCTAAATCGTGCGTAAAATTGGACCAGGATAAACAAACGAGCGGCGAAGAATAGGCAGAATCCTAACACTATCTGGAGCGAAGCGTTTTAGTTTTTCCTTCGAAAAATATAACTTGTCTTTTTTTACTCATACGTGCTATTGGGCACAATGTTGAGTTCTAAATATATGTTTTCATATTTTCACTTTGCAACAACTAGGCCGACTGAAGGAAGTGGGACGCACCCCAATTTTTTGTTGAGGTCTTTTGAGGTGTGACATGAAAAACATCGGCATGGCTCGGTTTGCACGGACAATTTTCAGGGACAGGGTGTATTTCCTAGTTAAGCAGGCATTTCATTGTCTGAGGTAACCTGCCCTAAGGAACAACTACAAAAAGTTGGTGAGATCATATCCAGGTTAATCGTTGGGCTTGGAGAGCTGAAGTTATTCTATGGGTTGTTAAGTAAACAGTCCATGTTCACTCATAAGATACTTTATTTAATAAACACTAATAAATAGCAAATTTAAACAAATAAAAGCAACGTTTGCGAGTAGATACCAGCTTCTGCATGTTCGCTTGTCTGGATCGCTATCGAATATCAGCCTTCACAATCATCGATAGAATGTGTGTATAGAAATCAAGTCAGGTTGAATAAAATAATATGACATATTGTAACGGAGTTATAACTTCGTTCGATCCCGGTGAAACAGAAATTTAACTATCTATTACTAGTTGTCTATTATAGAGACTTCCGTTAAAGAATTAGGGCAAATACTGTAGACCCTTCTGAACGGATTCCTTCGGCCATGTATCGATCGTCTCCGTGAGTAATTAGTATCTATTCTATCAGATGGCGTCTAATCGTAGTTAAAATCGCTTTCCTCGTGCCCGAGGCCTGCTATGCGTACGTAACCTATCGTTGCGACTGGACCAGAATATCTAGCCATTACTACAAGTAAGATGCGTTCTGGTCCCTCACGTATTATCGTTAGCAGCTTCGTTATTACCCAACATGTTTGCTTGCATAAGCTTGGATAATAATATCGTGTGGGACTTGATACGTTGGTCTGTCAACCCAATAGTAACTGACCTACTTGATTACGTTAATACTGTTATTATAGAAGTTGATAAAAAAAAAAGAATGTAAATGCTCAAGGCATCAATATAGATGTACTTATTGCTACGAGTGCATTTTACCTGGCCTATGGTCTATCATAATTGACACCAAAATGTTAAGTTTATGGCGCTATTTTCATAGTAGTATCTAAGAGCATTTTTGAACGCTAATTGTCATCGCACGTCCTAGTCTATTCCTCCACCTTGCGAATACTCTTTCCGATATGTTCGGCGTAATCTACCACATGCTACTTCGCTGATGAAGTTAAACGGCGTCTTTACCCATCTGTGATTTCTACCTGCCTCGGATCCCGTTCGAATCTCTCGTTCGTGTCGATATTCGACAAAGTCACTCCCTAACGAAAGATGAACATAGTGAATCTTTAGCCCTGTTTGTCTCCAATATCTGCCTCTATCTTTCCTTAATGACTGAACTATATCAGAAAAGCCCTAACCGCTTCGGATTGTAGTCCATATCTGATTACGGGTTGGCTTTCGATCAGTCCTATACATGCACTGGCACTATGCGAGGAAGTACAATAGCAATTTCTGTCTCTGATACAGTATCGGCACATTTCTTTAGCCATGTCATCAAATAACAACAATAGTAGTATGACTTTTGTAATAGTCGTCATCATCAAATAACAGCAACGTCACAACCATAGTTGTAAGGCACACACGGGCCGGTAATGCGCAGCGGTTATTGTCTGTGGATGATGGCTAGCGCCGAACAAAATCGCGCAAGACAAAGACATTTTCCTTTACCCGCCATTGTCAGCCGCTTGTTCCATGGCGTATGAATAAATTATCTATTCATATATTAACGATAAGCTATATAAAGTCAAATGATTCGATTGTTAAATCACTGGTCTTCGTGTTGAATGATGAGGCAATGTATCGGCTCCAGTGTACTCATTGCTCTGACGGCTAGCTAGATATAAGCGAATGGACGATGCTGCTAACACCGAGCCCGTACCATTCACTATTTAGGTGACGGTTATACATTAGTTTATTTAAGTTGAAAGGCCACTTCCAGCTGGGATATCTATCTACTGACTGCGGGATCGTAAGTGTTTTGGCTGACAGAAAAGGACATGCACATTTAGGCTTAGTTTTCCTCTACCTGTGGCCGATTCTGATGCATTATCGTTCGGCTAAATAAATATCCCTAGCAGAAACAAGTACATGTCGGAATCAATATCCGAAGTATTTTATTAAGCAGTTAATGACGGGCGACCTCGTCACTTGCACCTGCAACAATGGCCAAACGCTACCTTGTCCATCATCGTTGCAGGGTAGCTACTAAATGAGGTAACGTAAGAACGCACATAGTCTATTTTACAATATTAACAAAGCTAAGTACACACGAACCGTTAGTATTCGTTTGTTCACTAATTGGATGGCTGATGCTCAAGTAGCATTTTGTTTGTAGTAAATTTGAATGTACTGAAGTTTCGGCGGCTGCACGATTTGCCTGTTAATATCCTAAAATTAATGTTGTTCCTTAGCCCGCATGCATACTTGTGTGTTATATTTCGTTGGTTGGTAACCAGTGGTGATGGTTTAGCGGCATCGTCGTTTATTGCTTTGGTATACAGAGATCAAGTGTAATAGGCGAATTTAAGACGATCATTTCATTACGACGATTTCCTATAGTTGTCTCTTTTACCCCTTAACTGACCAGCATGTTCTATCAGACTCGAGAGCGGTGCGCATTAAGCAGACGGCCACGCCACAATGGATTACCGCTTTCACATCAAGGCGAAAGCGCAAACAGGCAGACAGTTCCGCTTCATGAGTCAGCTGGCTACTTTCTATAGCATCAAAGTATCTGAGGTACGACATAAGAAGGAGTTGGTCATCGCGTTGAAGGACAGAAGGGCAGCAAGAACAACGGCCTAAGCTACACGGCATCAGCGGTAGATCCCGGTCCTTTGTCCGCCCCCGAGCGGTGTATTGTCAGATGCAGCGGTTCGCAGCCACAGCAACAGTAAAGCGGTGGCCGTAATAGTCTTTACTTGAGAAAATGCCGATGTCATAAGTTTATGTTGCGTTTAGCGTGTGGCTTAACGTGAAAAACATTATAAAAAAATGTCGGCAATCTCTCTATGACTTTCATTCAGGGGTCGGGAAGTAGGGTCCAGCTCAGCAGAAGTCTGCCAAATGGCGGAGCCACTTTATTGAACCTGTTGAAAGATGGTCTTGACGCTATTGAAAGCGTTAATAAAAATGCGTTTAGCTGAAACATCTCGATTATCATTACATTGCAATGTTTTGACCAGGTACAGTATTGACCTAAGGTCGAATACTAGAAAACGCGGTTCCTACTGCAGTCGATGGACCGAATCGAAGCAGTCAAAGTCAGGCTCAACGGTTCATTATAGAGATAGTTTGATCCACACATTCGATAAGGCATATCGGTAAACAGATAGTTCTACAAACACGATTCTGATTCTATAAATGATTGAGTTAAGCTATGATATACGTTCTATACAATAGTCTGCCTCGTCAGTTTAGCTATCTGTCTATTCGCTTTCTTCTAACCGAATTTCCATTGTTCCAGCCCTCTTGTGCAAAAGAGCGCCATTTAGAACGGCTTTCACTAAATAGGCCCACTTCTAACAGCTCTTCCACGTACTCGGTTTGTTAGCCATAGTCACAGCCGCTGCCGGCAATTGTCAGTCACTTCGCTCGTTGCCCGTAAAGCACGCGGCGGCGCCTACGGCATCTACCATGAGCTAGGTCAATAGAGGGTTAGGTGAGCTGAGGCTGACTGATCGTAATAACAACAGCCATGTTCGTTCCCTTCAGTGAAACACATTGCACTAGATGGAATAGACATATAAATATGATATTTAATAAGTGCAGCATGACTGAGGAGACAGACAGAAACAAAGCGGCAGCAGCAGCAGCTTATTTCAGCAAATAATTTTAAGAGATCAAATGTTCATTTCAATATTAACGTTTAGATTATATATACTGAAGTTAAAGGCTTGCTCCATTTTCTTTGCTGAACGAGAAAATATGTACGAAAATTATGTCACGATCTCAATCTGTGTGAAACCGGAACAAATTAATTAGGTAGTTTCGCAAAAGCTATCTATTCTTTTCTTATAGGAATGTCACAAATGGCCGTATGCGTCAAAAAGGTTACCAGCACAGAAAAACCCTTTACGACTAACATATGGCAACAGGTGCCAAAGGTACTTGTTTCTACAACAGTGTTGTCGAGCGTCCAGATAAGGCAAGGGGGCAGGTAATTAGGTCGCGTTAACATGGCACGACAATCAGCATGGAGCTATAACTATCAATTTTGCACAGTGTCGGATAAAACAACACTCTCATTTCTACCTTTCTATATGCGCATTTTAAGCAAAGTTAAACAGCTTTTACTTGATTGGCTTTTTGTTTATAAGACTGTTAGGCCGTGCCTGGATGTTAAGGACAGCACGATCATAGAAAATCAAATAACGGAAAACCACGGCTTTCTCCTGCGCGTACTGCAGATGTGATTATGCTGAACTGCGGAAGTGTCATTTAATGATAATATTGAATTTAATAAAGTGATTTTACGTAAGTTTTAACAGGCCTAGTCGAACGTTACGGGAGCCACAAAAATAGTCGGAACGGCACCAGAACGTCGATCGCATTGATTCAATTGCAGATATCAGCACTATTTCAAACAGGAACAAAATACTATTCATTTTCTGTCAGATGTCATGCAGCCGCATCGAACCGACGTTGGCAATCAGCGTTGTGGCAAAAATCAAAGTATTATATTAAACAAAATGTGTTTGCTGAAGCTAGTGGCAGCTCTTACTTAGAACAAGCATGTAGCGTAAAGCCAGAGTTGCGTTTCCAGTCTACAGAGCGCGAATCTCATAGAAAGCACTAGGAATTTCGGCCAACTAGTTATGATTATTACCGGAAATTTCTTTTGATTCGCAAGTGATGTAAAATATCACGATTTGACGGAACTACCTTCGTAGCAATACGCTAGCCTGGCAATAAACTGTAAAGCTCTGATACAGACACTTTAAAAATTAGTTTTGTTTCGCATAACAAATAAGCAGGATACATATTCGCCCTACCGATTGAGAAATAATGCACCTGCACGATTCACAACGCAGGCGACAACGATAAGCAGGGTAGAAATCCAGCAGGAATCGGACCCGCAATCCGTTAGCCCGCAGACTGGCGCGTTCACTTATTCGAATCGAACTCATCCCAGCCAGTTGTTTTTCCAAGTAGGCGAAACAACGATCCTAAGCCCACCCGAAATAAAAAGCGCAGGACATCCATAGATCTCCTCAATATGGATAGGACAGCCCTGAACTGGATTTGGCCAATCATATCTGTTCCTGTTTTATGTCATTCTCCTCGTTCTACTATACAGTGATCTTCTATCTGTCATGCAGCCCACAACCCCCGAAATGATAATGTGAAACGCTAGAACAGTGGCGATACTTTGGCTTTGAAAATTCCTTTTGGAACATTCAAACTTGCCGCTAGATGTGGTCTGTTTTTTTTCAGGTTCTAAGCTACACCCTTCCGATCTAGTTTTCCAACTTAAGCATTACTCACTGTGCGTGTGAAGAAGTCTACGCCACGCGGAAGGGGGGATCCGCAGTAATAACTGCAATGCTTTTAGAAGACACCCTGGGGACAGTGTTCGTGTGGGAGAATACAGGTGTGAATGCTGTTGAGTAATACGTTATCCACCATTATGTAACACCTCCGGCCGTCGTTGTGTGAGAGCCGTTCCGCTACGGCATAACTGCAGCGGCTTGGAATTATGATTAGATTGTGGCATATTGGGCCAGACACACGGTCTATTCAAGAGTCTATTCTTGACCTGCTTAGCCCTGCTTCTCCGTTTTTTTCGCTTGTTCTTTCTATCACGGACACGTTCAAAACATAGATCTAGGAGTTTCAAAAAACTAGCTGCAGTTAGACATGAGCGCCGACTTTCACGAATAGCTAGGGAACATAATCAACAGGACCCTGGGGCAAATGTCACTGTAGGTATATTAAAACACTTTTATCTACATAAATGCATCCGTTTTTGTTGTCATTGCACTTATTATCATCACTGGGTCAATAATATCCAAAAATACTCCCAGCGTTTTAAACGTAATACAACGAAAGTTGAAGGAAAAAAGCGGAACAGCAGATGAGGTAAGTGGGCATTGTATTATGGGTCGTAATATGAATAGAAAAGAAACGAGGACAGCATTTGTCCATGTTACAGCTTCAGATAATGTAGTCACGTCGATATAAAAATCACAAAATCGTAAATAAGGCCACCATAACTCAGCACGTCACTGCACATGACTGATATACAAAGACAAATAACGTGGCAGATGCACCATATTTATACCCACGACTAGTTGCTCCAATGGCCAACAATGGACCGAACAGTTCTATGGCTTTTGATGGCAGTAAGATTCTATACTTCTTTTTGGCAACGGCCTAAAGGCCGTAACTTGTAGCATCGCTTGTGGGAAGGCATCAGTCGTTGCAGCCACATGATTTCCCAACCTTAAAGCGATTCCTCTTGATCTAAACTATAGTAGAATTAGCTCGGCCACGTGAAATCCAACGTTGAATTCTGCTCAGAAAGCAGTGAACAACTATCAGAGTTCCAAGTCAAATTATATTGACGATTGCTATTAAAGCTACAATGTAGTAAATCAGAACTGTATAACACTGGCTGATTTTTGGGAAGTCCATAGGTATCTGTTCCACAAGGGAATTGGATGTCCTTAGAATAATTATCATTACAGAAAGGTGCCGCCGCTGCTGCTGTCGTTACGAGCCAGGCGAATCAAAGCGGAGGAATTCGTAGTAGAGTTTATTCTACCTTTTATTACAGATAGGAACTAGTTGGCCTTGAAATGGACTCAAAAAGATAAGCTGACCATGGCAAAACTCATCTGATTAATAGAATATGCAGGTTCTATATATGGAGATGCTTTCAGGGACATCTGCTACAGTGCGCAGGAATTTCGCATGTATATGTATATATATATATATAATATATATAATACTCTTGAATGCTATTCAACGAACAGATGTCTCTTCATTTTTCGCCTAATAGGCAAAATATACTGGAATAGGGACCTACCTTAGATTGCATTTTCAGCACGTACAATGCATAAGGATAAAAGCTTACCATATAACGTAGTAAATGAGCGTTCTAAAAAGAAAAACAAGGTAACATTGAAGAATATTTTTGGCAGACAAATGCCGCAGGCAAACGCCTAATTATACGTACGAAAACATATTTGCAGACGAGCTTCCTCTGCAGGAGCAACGATGCTAACACAGAAACAATAGGACAGTGACGTCGGCACCTGAGAGAAGCCTGAGGAGGCGTCTGTTGTTTAATCGATGACGCTGTACTACTTAACGGCTAGTAGGAACCGTGCCGGTAGGTTGAGCAGGGGAAATGCCCGAGCTGTAGTAGTAACATGAATGCAGGAAACATCATAGCAGACGCGGGAGAGATCCAAGTCATACGAGGGTGAGCGCTTTCGGCTGCAGGTAGCCGGGATACAAAAACGCATATTAATGCATGCTGATGCATTTCTGGTGTTTGAGAAGTAATTTTTTATGAAAGCTTAATAGCAAAATAGAGAAATTAGTGTTTTTTTTTGCCGCATTTGGTAAACCTAGAAGTTAGAAAAGATGGTGGAAGCTCGCTAAAGGTTTTTGCACGGCACATGCATCAAACACGAATTTTGGAATAGGCAGCCAACACATTCGAGTTAATGACGATTAAAGGGCGTTGGTAAATAGGAACTAAAATATGCTTGTAGAAATGTCTTGGACCTTCTTTGCCACAGCAGACATACGCTACAACCCATAGATCCGTTGTCGCTTAGTAGCAAACAAAGCAAGAGCGACCTATAAATGCATTAAGGCCCGCCACTAAATCACTACAGTACTTGCTTACCCAAGGCAACTGGCCTGGCACCCGTTGCCTTAACCACGACATTAATATCTGCTTTGAGGGCTTGAGCTTTTGAAAATCATAGGCATTGCCTTTAATACATTCATTAAATCAATGTCCTATCATTATAGCCTACCAAGCACCAAACTATTGATTAACGACGACTACAAATAGAAGGAAATTGTGCTTAACGAATAACAACGACGAAGGATTCGCGCCCAATAAGGAGGTCTTACCCAAAACAAAAGATAGTCAAGTTTCATTTAAAGAAAACTTTGCTACAAACCTTGTTAGGATTGTACTTTAGTAAGAAAATTTATTCATCCGTAATACACTTCATTATGAAGCATCACATTCATACGTTTCTCCGTCTGCCTTTTTGGTATTCTTTTCCTTATCAGCATTAGCGCTCAGTCATACATTCAATAGTCATCAATCGCTAGGAGCTTTTGTTTGTTCATATTAAGAATATATGCCAGCTGTTACGCTGATTCCCAGACAAGCTAGCGTTATTTTGTCGTCTATGTGGTTTCTTTCTTGTTTCAACAAACGGGTCGTCATTTTCCTATTAGATAGTTTAGTATCATCTCGTTGTGCTGACAACCCAGAACCAAGAGCACGAAAAGTAAGCATCTATTCTGTCTGGCCGTCCTTAACGTTTTGGCCAAGCTTATGTGTTTTATTTTAGCTATTTTCTATTGGCTTTTTGCGGCAATCGTCTTTGTTTTTTTACCATTACGGCATTACCGTTTTGGTAATTTATACAATCTTTAAAATTAGTCATCTTGCCCTTTCTTTCTGCTTACGGAGTGATATAAATTGCTTTGTATATTAGTTAACCTTAATTAGTTATTACTTAATATATAATAGTTTTTTTTTTCATTCATGGTGGAGATTATCACCGCACGCCATCATCACTTTTTGAGCCCTTGTTACGTTATGCGGAAAACGCATAATTTTATTTCGTTATTATTTGTCGTACGTTCGACTTCCAGCGCGAAAAAGGGGGCGCACCGGAAGTCAGCCAGCCGGTGCGACCGCCTCTGTCATAGCGTACGCTTCGTGTTGCCCCTATCGTCATATATCACATGAACATTTTGTGTGAATCTGGTGTCACAATACTCTATTATATTAATGTAATTCTCGTTGTTAATTAATCGTGACAAATTTTCTAACCTACGACGACATCATCTTATAATTACCGAATAATTAATACTTACCGCCACGGCCTTTTGGCGCAGAAGGCGGAGGATTGTGCCCATCAGCTTTTCGGGATTATGCCAACCCTTGAAAATTTCAACCATTTTTCTGTCATGACTATACGTATTGTGTAATATTTTGCCTCCGGTAGAAAAACGCCACTACACACAGATATGCGCGATACGAACGAATCCAGTGGCAAATCACTGCATGATCGATTTCAACAACCGCGAAATCAATCAGTTCCTCATATCGTTACGGTTATGGCTGGCAATGTGCGCTGAATTATTATAGAGAGCATTATCAATGAGAGCCGTTGAACTGAAAAATGACCATCTTACATTTGACCTAGCCTTTCTGTCGTCGACCTTAAGGTCGCATCCGGCTTTTTTTTTATTTTCACAGCTGTTTTTTTGTCACCTCGAGTATCGAAAAACGAGCATTAACTTTCTGTCTCGCCTGCCCCCGTTGCTTCCACAAGAAACCTCACTGAGCAACGAAGTGCGCCGAGTGCACACGGACTTGTTCACAAAGGCCGGAATGGAAGGGGTCCGCGTCATATAAAGCTAACGTGCTTACCACAAAAGAACTCGATCATATCGAGTTTTACGGAAAATGAACTAACGATGATTATTAAGAGAAAATCTCGTCTATATATTTTGTTCCTTTCTTTTTTTGTTGTCCTCTTGTGGTTGGTCAACTGTTGTGAAATTACTGAATGTCATACACTAACGCTACGGGTCGCCGATATACCGAAGCATCGATTAGTGTTGCTATTGCTGCAGCTGCTATCCGCAGTTGTCTTTGTCATCGAGACTACGGACGCGCCTGTTGAGTTTGTCCTCACTGTCGTCGTTGCGGCAGCTGCTGTTGTTCCTGTCGTTGACGTCGTCGAAATGACCTTCCCATCCCCGCGTAAAATGACAAAGCCATGGGCATATAGAGGATGATGAGAACGCGAATGCTGTTGATACTGATACGGATAAGAGCATTGATGCTGCTGCTGCTGCTGTTGCTCTGGCTGATGATGGAAGAGTTGATTTTGGTTGATTCGCAGGTGGCCAAGCGATTGCTGATCAACGACGGTGGATGGGGTTGCGCGGTACTATCTGAGCAGGTCGTAATCGGCTACACGGCCGCATGGAATAGTATCGGCCGCGCTCTGATGGTGATGCAGGTGAAGATGATAATGCTGTCCATACTGAAGTGGCCGAGGATGATTCGGATAATGATGCTGGTGATGCTTGCCATTGGCTAAACTTTGGTCACAGCTGTCTGCTGGTTGAAGGGTTTCTGATTCGCCCGCGTTGTCTGGGTCTAGTTGGACGGCCACGCTGAGCCGTGAATGCAGATGCTGGTTGGCCAAACGGATATTTACAAGACAGCCAAGGGGTGTAGGCGCCACATTGAACAGGATGACGCCTGTTAGCACCAATGACAGAGATACGACGTAGAGATAATGCAGCTAAATACGAAGGAAATCGAAAGGAAAATAAATTAGTACATATCAAGAAATACATATAGCCCTTGAGACATGAAGATAATGCCGGTATCGCAGCCATTATTCAAATGTCAACGAATCTACGCATAATTAGATCAGTTCTAGGCGAAGATATCAAAGTATATTTATTTACTGCGTTTTCTTGCGTTGTCCCACATATCTATAGACGCATATATACATGGTTATAAAATCAAGTAGATCATACTAACCCCAAAGGTCTTATTGAGTATGTAGTAATAACCGAGAAGTGACAGCCCGTCGGCGGATAATAGGGAAAGGTTGAGCGCTGTAGCAGACGAATTGGCAATAACAATAGCAGCAAACAGATACATCAGAGTCTGACAAAAACAGAATCCAATCAGTGGCAGCTGTTGGGGTGGCGGTAGCGAAAGCGCTATCTGTACCGCATCCAATTCCAAAATTGCCCTATGGATTCAGACACGTAGGAGAAAAGTTCAAGCAAAACAGGTTGAAGAAGAACACATTTAGCAAAAAAGAAGTACATTAACAAGCACATACTTAGCTTTGTAACGACCGTACTCATAATCAAATTTAGAAAAGCATCGTGGACAAGCACGCATCTTCATTCTGACGTTTGTGTACTAAATGCAATTTGTATAAGAATATGTTTGAAGGGTCGCACCCGTTGGCAACCTGTACAGCGTTTACTCAAAAGTAATGGGAATACGCTGCGTTACCGTTTGACGGAAGTCCACTGGAAGATTCAATGAGCGTTGCACTTGGCCTGACAACTATTGGATATTTCACATGGTAAACAGCGGCCGTAAAATCCATCCAAAATTTACCATCTCAGATCTTCTCTTTATCATGCGATCATTAAAAGAGATTACCTAATCGATCGGGCTTTACAATCGACTTTGTCTATTAAAAGCAATTGGTACGCTGATAAAAAGTAATCGAACGTTTCTACGGGAAGCAACGGTCATACTACACCTATAGAAAACAAATAACTGAATGTAGTGGATATTATGCTATCAAACATTATGCAAAAAAAGTGACCTTTGGCGAAGTACTGACCTCTATATTAAGAGGATACACATTAAACACATTTTCGAGTCTTTTACTAGAAAAGTCTTCGGGGCGCACGCCGCAGTGAACGCTATGGTTCTTCGTTCCGAATCGTTAGTTTTTGCGCCATTGTAACCATAGCGCACTTAGTCATACTGCTGGGGCTTGGTGTGATTGATAGAATACGTTAGTAGACATTCTTTTCGAAAGAAACAGCTTCAACAAAAACCTCACGGCTCCTGTTCTGGATAGAAACACGTAACATTCACTGCTGGCTTCGTCCATAACTGATGTAGCATTAACGGAGAGTGCTCCCGTCAGGGACTTCTACGTGTTAGCCCTCGCTCTAACTTCGTATGCCCTCTGGTTTTTCTCACCAGTTTTTCTACCTCATACTACAGTTGACGCGCAGCCAACTTTAAGCGCAGCTGAGCTATTACTTTCGATCAACACCCTTAGGAAGCACCAACGTCGTCTTGTTATAATGAAGATTATTTAGAGGTCCTCTAAAAACTATCTCTGCTAGTCTAATTAGGCCGACGCATCAAATAATAAGTGTCGCAGCAAATAAAATAACTTCTATTAAGGACGCTATATAATATTCCCAAAACGAAAAAAACACGTATATGTTATAAGATCATTATCCTCATTTGTAATTAATAATTCCACCGGAAGAGAAGCTCATGAAAAATTCTATTTGAATTACTAAATTACTTTATAATGATTGATGAAGACCAAGCTAGTTAGATTAATAATTTGCTGTCTACCATACTTACATCTGTATCCCACTTATCGCACTTGCAAAGAGGCCAATCATGGCAAGAAATTCTACACTTCCTGAGAATGCTTTAACCGTAAACTCCTGCAGGACATTTGAAACGCCGTAAAGCGCCCCTGCAGATAGGCACAGCATATCTCCAAACAGACGATTCTGTGGAGTCGTATTGTTGTACTCTAGGACGTTGCTCCATACAAGCGAGCCGATACCCAACAGACAGATCCCGACACCGCTTATATGGACAATTTTGTAGCGAACCTTTAGAAATAGCCATGATAATGCCAGCACAATTGGGATGCTAAAACAATCTAACATCTGCAACAAAGACAGATAAAAAAAAAATACCATAAGTAAGGTTACAAGTTGTTGTTTCCATTAAATTTGACCTTTTTTGCTTTCACTTGTAGCACAAACAGATGTTCCGTATACACTCAAATGCATATTCGATAATAAGTGAAAAGTCTGTTCTCTTTGTTGTTGTTGATTCGCCATGTGGATTTTTTAATCAAAACTGTTTGTTAGAAAAGTAAATTATAGGCAACTTATCTAACGACAAGTAAGTTTTGCTGTAAATATGGCGTTACAATACAATACGGCTTTGTATAGGTTCGTTGGAGTGCAATTACAGAATAGTTTTATTGCAGAAATTCGTTTATCGTGAAACGCTAGCAGTTTCCTCGTTTCCCACCTCGATTCGATTCCCGCATCTACGAACTTTTTTCAGCTATTGTGCAGATATCTCGTAAATGTAAAGCTGCTGTCAAGATAGATATACCTCTACCCACTAGTTCAGTCCATCTGTTTCTTTTCGTCGATGTTCAGAAGAAAAGGACTAATTGTGATTCGGATCAAACAGACCGCGCTCCAGTGGCCCATCGCGGAATAGAGACATTGATACAGTCCACACAAGGCTGCCTTCTAAAGACAGCTGTACCAAACCAATAATAAATCAGGGGGGCGTATTTGAACTAAAATCCAACGCGGCCGAATTCGATGGGACCAAGACTCACGCGGCTCTTTGACTTAGAGCCATTACATCAGCGGCTGAAGGTTTGGAATTTTTGGTCTTTTTTCATTTTTGCCACAGTTACCTTAAGACTGCGACCAACTACGACGAAGGAGACGTCAATGTTTTCGGTGCGTTGTAGAGAAACTATATCAGGACCTCCGAATGCTGCTACCACAAAGTGAACGGGCCGGCGTAATGTAACTTCGATTGGATAATGTCATCATAATAACAGTTCCCGGAACATGACAAGCGACATTCCTTTCCGGAGATTATTTTTCTTAAGGGAATGTTTTTGTTACAGTCAAAGCATCTTTCTGCTTGAAAAGAGGTAAGGACTATTCTCCGTTTTCGAAAAACGTTACCCTATATAACTAGTGTTTAACAGGCAGCTTTCGGAGCTACACTTATATCCACCAACCTCCGTCTTTTAGGCCAGCGTGCTGTAACAGGAGAAATCAAAGAAATATACTATTGTAACGAAGTGGCCTTACGCACACACAGACATGATCTTTGTCAGGACACCTAGCCAGTACACTTTTGTGCTTGCTTGCTCTTACCTGTACGCTGGGCAGAGTCGTATATTTGTAGGCGTGAAGGATGAGATAGTTGGCCTCGACATCTATTGCTGCTACTACAAAATATTTGACACCTCGACCTCGCATCACGTTGAGTAGCGAGTTCTCCCCTCGTCGACAGGCCAAAAACGGAATAAAAATAAGGAACATAATCACGTACGTAGGAAACACAAGCGTTGCGGATAAGCTGGTGATGCTTCCACTTCCAGCTCCAACTGCCAATCCCCCGCCCCCGCTGGTGTCAGTTCCTGCTTCGGAAAGGCTGCTGAGGCCACTGCTGCTGTCCTTCGCTGCATCCCGCGAACGGTGGACGGACTTGATATCTTGCAGACAGTACGCCGTCCCACAAACCAGCACAGATGCCAACTGGCCGCATATTACCGATTTGAGCGTATTGCTGTAAATGAATAGAAAGGTGAGTGAAAAAGCACCAAAATTAATAACGGCAAGTTGTGATAATCGTGTTTAAATTGAATAATGATAACCTAACTTCGTCTGAGACTTTTCGAGGTATAATACAACTAAATATGGCACTAAAGTTAATCAATATAAGAGGAAAGCTATAGCGTTTTCTAATAAAATCAATGCTCTCTGTACAACTTGTGGATTTGACATACGATTGTCTGTTAAAAACAAAATTTTCACAGCTGAAATCCAATCTTGCCGCATTGAAAAAATCCCCACCAAAATAAAAAAAGGAAACTTATTTCTTGTACGAAATTGACGGTCTACGTTATCGTTAGTTTTTGTGCGGCTTCCGGGGAATCTAAAAAGGATTTCCATAAGCCGAATCGGAAAATTCTTGATAAAGTTCGAATTAATAGCGCTCAAGAGTTCATAAAGATGGCTCAAAAAGCCATCTTAAATACATCCAAGTTTTCATACAAAAGTTAACGGCCATTTTAAAGAAGATAATATTGATAGCCGATTGTGACTGTCCAGAGTTAATTAGGCTCCAGTTATGGTTCGTTGTTTTGAAACCTTTTACACTTTTTGGATTTTCCGAGCCGTTTCTAGGACTTTTGGCCTGCTATCAACCTGAAATTTACCACAGCCGAAAATGTCTGCATGTCGCGTATTCCAGTGAAATGTAAACAAGTTTACGTCTACCAATATCGCTTGATGCACGGTTACAATTAAAACATTATTTGTGAAATAGTATAAATAGTTTGGAAACGACTAGTTAGTGATTTTAGGTCCCGGATTGTAGCTACAGTTTCAGTGAATGGTGACTATATTACGTAATTGTTAGAAATGACACTTCCTGGACCTGAAATGTCGTTGAAACATTTGACTTGGGTAGCCGAATCTACACACACATATAGAATTAGTAAAGTACCCTTGTAATGAGGTTTTTGCCATTTTTCAGAAACACTCAATAGATGGGTATATATAACGTCAAATAGTTTAGACATGTGTATTTCTAGATAAGGAATATTTATATAGGCATAACCTAAATACGCTTTATTTAAGCAGCAATTTAATCGACATTTTGGTCAGCAATTGGTTGAATATAATCATTCGGAGAAATCGCTCGGCTTTAAGGCCATTGCAAGCCGCTACGTTCAATGTTAAAGTTTGTACGCCGCATAGTCCTCAAAGCATGGGGTTGAATAATCTAATGAGATTGATTAAGGTCCAACTTTTTCTTAGGAAGCTAAGCATTCATTTAAGTTTTGTCGCGAACAGTCAGAAGAAAACTTATACTGCGATTGTAGACCTATCATTCCATATCAACTAAGGCTCGTTGTTTATATATATGCATCAAGTTGATGGATTTGGTACGGCTATATAAAAGTAAGGCACTATTCTGTCGCAGAATATTGATTGTGCCTGTTAATACTGATGCTTAAATTACGCAACATTAGTTTTTTAAATTCTTGAAAAAATCCATTTTATGCAAACAATTTTTTTGCAAACAATTTTTTTTGCAACAATTTTATATTGCGGTAAGATTTATGGTCGATAGTGAGACTGGATATTCTAATCTGCGTATACGAAAATAAACACCACGTACAGTCTTCACTAAAGACTTTTCAAGTCAATTACCTCCTTCTATTTGTGGAGTAAATACACTACAGTATAAAATCTACAAATGGAGCAGACTTGAAAGTAGCACATTTTGGTGAAATCATCTGCAGAAGGTGCACGCCTTAGCTTTCTTTCTGGTAAAAGCTCTGATTTACAAAATATGAGAAACCTTGCGACTTTTAACAATTTCTCAAATGGTCTATTTGTATGAAGGAAGTCATTCCAGTTATTAAAAAATCAATCAGCGCAAAGAATCGATCGAAAGTAACAATGCAAACAGAGCATAGCAAGGTTTCATTAAACTTTGTCATGTAACCAAACGTAAGTAAATTTGGCATTTTCTTTTGTTTTTTTGGCAAACTAACCTCTTCTTTTTTTAATACTCTTTACTTATTTGTTGCGATACACTCATATATTGTACGTATGTTGTATCTTACTAATTGCGGCAAACATATGGCGTATGTTAATAAAACAGAATTATTTGTCTTGTCATGTGTGGAACTTGGGATTACGGCTTATACACTAATTGTATAGAAAGGTATTGTTTGATAATTCCGACGTGGAAGTTGAATGAATAACATAATTGCCTGCTAACCTCAGGGACACGCTGTGGTGTGGGTTCTAACGTGGGCGTAAACAGACTTTCGCTTGCGTTGGAGATACAGGACGTAGAATTCGAGAATAAAACACGATACTCTCGGCTAAACGTCCCTCAGCATTTTTACTTGCTAGGCTAACAGCTCAATGAAAGATTTTTTTGTAATTAAATGCAAACTAAAATGTAAGCTTCAAACAGCAAATTTGAGCAAGCTCTGTGACCCCATAATCGTCGCTTAAAAAATTAAGGTAAAAGTTTTTACTTCACTTGTGATAGCTTTTCTATAGCTGAATGATGCAGTTCACAATGAATCGCACCCAGTGATAGAAATCATTGCTTGAGGAACCGACAACCTCTATAGTTTTCTCCTATAAATTACGATAATTTATGGAATGTTTTGGTCCATGCAATATCAGGACACTGCGATAAGGCTACTGATTCTTTAAAAAGACAGTAGTAACAACTATGGGCCTCGCTAAGTTATGTCCCAGTTCTCTGACCTCGAAATAGGCTTGCCTAAAGAAAAGTAGGCTTCATCAGATCATTAATGGTAGGTTTCTTTAGCAGAGTATCGCAGACAGACATATAGAAAACGATTTCTGTACAAGCACTAAAGGGGAGAAAGTTGCTTCTATTAACGACGTTCTCTCCTCAGCCAGAGGAAATCAACGCTCAAGGTACTAATCATTCGGCACGTAGATGAATGTGTACCTTGGATACTCTATTCGTCACTGAAACAGGTGTCTACCGTCAGCGAGAAACCCTGCAAAACACCGGCCGATTCCCTAAGGAGCTGCTAAAAGAGCGTAACTCTACGTAGCATAAGAAGACTGCTGCACAAAGGGCCCGCTTGCCTTGGCTGCAATGTAGCTGTTTACTTGCCCTCATACTTTAGCAAACAGCAGCTTAAAGCTTAGAGCTTAGGTAACTTGGGTCTTCCAAATGTAACGTTAAGAAGATTAGGTAACTTTTTAAATAAGGTAGTTCTTATAACGGTAACTTATAAGAAAAGTCTCAATTTGGAACCGTTTTAGCCTGTCGTTCTTACGATGATGGTAAAGCTTAGGAATGTTTTAAACTTTTAATTACACGCGTTTTTGACACAGCCCTGCTTACCAAAGTTACCATCTATTGTCCCGCAATATGACTGATAATCGCACACATTCGAAAAACGTTTGGATGACCATATACTTAATCCATTCAAAATAAACGGGTTTCTGTCCGAAGAGCATAGTGTACAGGCTGAATGGCCAAAGTATAGCGTGTATTCAAAAATGAAAAACTACGTACGTATTTTCGGGTGAATGCAAAAGGGAAAGGAAATGTTCAGAATCAGAAAAAGCCTCTAAAAATAAAGCAGTGAACATTTCCTTTATAATAACTCTATTAAAAAGTATATGACAAAAATGAAAGGTGTTTTTTTTTTAATTAATGGATCCAATGGCTTAACTATCAGGGGCATGTCTGCGCATATTTGGGCTAAAATTAATAAAATAATAAAGACGTAAAGCATGAACAAGTGCCCGCTCCAGCCCGTCGGTCTGAATCAAATGGCCTGATAATTAGAGTTATACGAATACCTTGGCTCATATCTTGCCAGCTATTGATGTAGACCATCTTAGTTTCATTTTTGATGATATACCCTTGAAGTTCTCTAACAAACATTTTAGACTAATTGGTTATCAAGTTAAGCAACGACAGATCTCATTGACCCCTTTGAGGCTGTTTAATTGCTGGCTAAGCACGTCCTACCATGGCGGGCCGCACTATCATTTATCCTCTTCTCAGCTTTGTTTGAATAAACGCGCCACAGTAAGAAGCTACGATTGAGGTGCGTGAACAATAACATAACTCAATATGCCAAAGCATTCGATTCTATATCAATCCAAAGTTTCATGGGAATTTCTCAATATGCTTCCTTTCAAATAGAGATGTCTGAAAATACTTAACATCGTATTTTACTGGTAGAGAAAATACAGTCCGTATCGGAGAAGCGTTATCCGGAAGGTAAAACGTCGTAAGGGGAGTGACTGCCGCAGGGTCTACTCCAGGCCCGCTCATATCCATAATCTTAATTTTGGTTTCACATCACTAAATTCCAGTTTCGAGCCGATTTGCTATGCAGACGACATTAGCCTTTTGCATACGTTGTACAAAAGACTGCACTCAAAAAAGAGCCGTCTAATTGCTCTCATTGGGTCACGACTACAATTCAACAGGTTGGTATTAATATCAGTGAAGCCACTATAGTGCTATTTAGGTCTGTGCGGTCCGGGTTGACATTGGATAGCACACAAATAACTACTATGAAACCAACTATTTAGATTCGTCTTTGGCTATAAACGATTTTGGATCCATTTGATTTAAATGCTATGGAAGTGTAACTGTTCCGGCCAAAGTCAGATCGCTCAAAGTACACTACGAGGTATTAGTTAACACCTATATTGGGCTGTGCTAATTCTTACTATCACTCATGAGGTAACAAATACTGTCTAGCCTAACAAATGTGATGCACTTAGGCCAGCTTACGAATAACACAAAAGAAACCTTCTCGAATACCTCGAAGCCTCAGCGTGAAGTATTTTTGCTAACAAATCATACTTCACCAGTTCGGTTGCTGGCCGCAGCGTCTCACAACACCCGATTAACAGGCAGATTTTTAAAATAGTGAAACGTTGCTGGATGCTAATTCCGTTTACTGCTAACATACGTTCATCTTTTTCTTTTTGAAGAAGAAGAAGAAGATCGTGATATGAAATCTATTCGAAGCTCATCTCAGGTCGTTCCGTACACAAAACTGATATTTACAGATTAAGACCGAAACTTAGTGATAGATCTTATCTGTTGAAAGTATGATTAACCTCAGATATGATGCGATGGAACCGAAGCAGTAAAACAACAATATATAAAATGTTTATGATATTTAAAAATACATTTAAGTCACACTAATCCAATTTCGGCTCAATTTTCGACAAAAAATTGTTGACTCTGCCATTATCTTGTTGAAAGGGAACGCATGTCCGGAAGGTTAACTAGAAAAATGCGCGTTTTGTCTATACTAGACTAGTGTCTATTTAATTTGTCCGGTCCACAACTTATGGCATAGAAAAAGGTAATCGAACGAGTTTGCTCTGTTAAATTATCATCCTTAGGCCATTCAAGTTACCCCTCTGATTAGTAAGTTAGCGCGATATCGTCTCTAAATGGCGGCCTAGTTAGTATTATTCATTTTATTCTGGAGTTTGGGCAACATGTTGGGGCTCTTTTAAAATATACGATCTGAGTTACCTGTTTCCGTTGACAAAGTGCCTCGTATTCGTAGCAATCCCGACAGTAGAGCGAGAAACAACCGCTCATTTTCTTTATTCTGTCATACCTACTTCTACACCTTTGTTTAACTTCAAGTTGTGCTATTTTATCATTTTAGTCAATGAAATGAATTATATTTGAGGAAACTTTGTTCCTATCTCTTTTACTATCTATTCGGTATGTATCGAGGCCATTAATACGACGTTTAGCCTTTATGGTCGTGGACCTAATAAAGCTGCTGTCAGCGGAAATTATTTTTTTTGACACACATTTAGCTTGTGTTGCGTATGACTGATCTATATCAAATATATCCTGTGTACCATATTCTCTGGTCTGTCTTAGCTTCCAAGAGAGAGCTGCTTCCAGAAACTGCGCACACTCTTCCTTCGGGACACTCCGCTTGGCTATATAGACAGCAGATGAAAATATCAATGCATCCATAAGGGTCAACATGCGCTCTCCGATTTAAACCCTCGCGTCATCGACAGGAATTGTTCCATAAAATTTGGGTTTCAGTCATCTGTCCACTTCTTCGGTAATCCAATCATGGGTCTGTACCTGCGGCCGCTTATCCTGTTTGAGGCCTGAGATCACCAGTAGCTAACGACCGATAATCGTTTCCATGTATATTTTACCACTTTTGGTTCGTGATTATAATTTTTCAGCTTCCTTTTTAGCATGAGAAAATGCTTCTTTCCCAATTATCGTTTGGAGATAACGCAACTCTAAAGAAGAAATTTATATTTTGTGAACACATCAATCTGCTGAAGGGTCTTAGAGGCAAATCAGTTTACGATTAGGCCAAGTTCTTGTCTTTTCTTCATTAACAGTATGTTTCAATAGCGAGCAGTTCTTTACTTGTTACCATCGACACATAGAGAAAAAAAATACGTGTGTAATGAAATAAAAAAAACTCATGAAATTCATCATTGCTTCCGTACACCTTTGCTGCTACTTAACTCTTAGGTGAACTAATAGAGTCCAACTCGGATTTCCGGTAAAAAAAACATCTTAGAAAGATATTTTTAGGCGTTGGCTTCATTTTAACATAACTTTGAAAACATACGCAGAAACACAAGTTTACTTATGGATTTTTCTTTTTCATTCTATAGTGTTACGAACGCGACTAATAACGCGGTGTTGTAGTTTTCTACTTATAGTAGTTAGTAGTAGTTATAGTTAGTTTCTAGCAAAATCAATCTATTCAAGAGATTTCATACCAGCACAAGTGACGAATCCTATTCAATAAAAAAAAATACATGTATATTCACCGAAATGTATCGAACAAAACCAAATCAAAAGACTATTAAACTGTGCTATTTTTAAAGGTCACTAAACACTGCAGAGTCCTACATTTGCAGGATTATTACAGGGATATCCTGTAATATTCCGCAGCTAATTGTTTTAAGGCAAAGACTGACTTGTGTCTATGATGTAGACTCCTAAACGGAAGGGGTCTACAGAGATTTGTGATTCCTAGAGAAAACTGAAACGAGCATATTAAAAAAATGCAATTTGAAATCGTGATATCAAATAAGTAAAGCGTATATAGAATTTGAACCCGTAAATCTGGCGGCAGCCCTTGCTTTCTGAAATGAACGCTATCTAAACCAAGTTGACAACTATAGTTTTACGGTGATGGAGAAATAACAAACGGGCCAAATAATGTGTCCTTGCTCTGTCTCAGTGATGCTCTGCTTGCTAAAAAGAACGGGTTTATAAAATTAGAAATATCGTTTTATTATGACAACGAACTTATATTTGGGAAATCCAACTTGGCAAAATGTTTCCCTTCGTATTCTTGAACGTTTGTCCTAAATATCCCAAGCTGTATCGTTTATCAAATAAACGACAATAAAAGAATACCTCTATTGTTAGTACCGAAAACGTCACTTAATGTTTTTAGAATCTATGTGCCACATACATTCTAAAGGAGAGACAGTTATTGAGGTGGTGTACATAAGATAAGTGCATATTATTAGTTTATATACACACTTACTTTCTGCGATGTCTTACTTAGCCCAGCTGTGGCCCTTTTTGTATTTACCGGAAAGACAGATACATTTGAAGACTTGCCTATGGTCTTTATCTTTGTCTCTTCTAGAGACTCGGGATCAAATGATAGGTCGTTTTCTGCTTTGCCATATATCTTTGAAAACGATGTATACCTTATTCCGTAAGGCGCCCACAGAACCTTCGAAAGAATACCGCAAGACGTTGGCTTGAAGCTACAAACGTCATATAGACCTGAGTGTTTTGCAGTTGTTATCATTTGTCTTGAAGAACACAACTGCCTTAGTTCTGCTAAATTAAGGACTCTAACGATCTTTTGATTTGTAGAAACGAGAGATGTGCGTTTGAAAAGTAGCAACATCTATACAAGTAATCTCTTGATTACCAGGTGAATATTTTTCCGCTACGTCTGGCATCTTAAATGGTTTGAGTTTTACGTCCGGTATCGTATGAGGCGTTCCACCGAACGGTTGATTCCCGGAACAAAGTGTGTCCACAAGTTTAGCAGGCGAATACGCTACCTACTGCATAATCACCGAGACAGATCTGGATATCAGAATCTACTTGAAATAAATTCTTTTGAGTGCCTTAAGATAGGTAGGTTAAAACAATATAAAAACCTATTTACAGATTTTTTCATAACAGACGTTTCCCTAAAACCGGTCGATTAATGACTTGTTGGAGTTGATCTATGAGTTTTCCTCGTTTAGCATTCTATTTTTATCTGTGCAAGTCTGATTGAACTACAGGGATATATATAAGGATGAAATACCTTAGAATACATCGCATCGCTCCTCTTTGTAGCCGAGAGGCCCTCGAACCTTTACCTAATCTGTAGTATATCCCTTACGTTTTCGATAAACGCCAGTTATGAGGTAGCGGACGACAATTCATTAGCAAATATTTCGAACAGACTGCCGCGTAACCGTATGAACTATACGAGAGTTATCTGAACCTGAAGTGCCGTGTTGACATAGCACTGTTTAATTATTCGAGTGCAAACTATGGGGGAAAGACAATGTATTTTGTATAAATACTGACGCACAGGGATCACGTTTGTTTACGTGTGAGTATCGCTAATAGAGAATCTGACCAATCCGTCATACGAGTATTTTTGTCTGAGCGATCAACCCTGACTTGCTTTCAATTTCATACGATTCTATCATAGGTCCACTGCTAAACTTCGAAGTCATTCAACCTATAAATGTTGTACTCACATGTTGTGACCAACAGATAGTAATTGACCTTCTTGCCTAGGACGCGTGTTTACCTTTTACTTTTCTATAAAATCGGTTTAATCGATTTCGATAGAAGCGCCAGTTACCTATACGTGTCTTGACTCCATTTAGTAGTTTGTTATCGAATCGTTCATACTTCAAGTGGCATTATCTATTTATTTACGTAACATATATATTTATCATTGGCTAAATGGGAACGGATGTAAAAAAATGGCCAAATCATTCCTTTGTTGCGCAATTGCAGAGGCCTCTTTAGAAGAAGCTATGTTTGAAAAAATCAAAATGCTACATCATGGAGAACTTTTCCGTAACAGAGACACAACGTTAGCTTTGTTGTTGTAGATTTGGGGTTAACTTCAAGTTAGAAAGGACGTCTTGCCCATTGACAGAGGGGACTCGGACGTTTATTTGTTTAATAATAAGACATTTCATAATAAGCGCTCTTAAATTATTAACTTTTAAAAATCGTCAGATCATTTTGTCCTTTAATTCTTTGCAAATCATATTTCTTGTGCAAGTTTTTTCGAAAGTTGAGAGTTGTAATCTTTATGCAATTTTTCTACCTAAATAGTAAATCTGTTTACTATTGTATTGTCGCCTCTTTCTAATAATTAAATTGGGAAAAATTATAGCTTGTTACCTGTCTTCTATTTAATCTCGTAATTCCATGCAGTTTGCGTCCTATTCGCAATCTGTTGGGCTTAAACAACTTGAAAAGTCTAACGACCAGATAGATCTAGAATTTTAACTAACAGTAAAACTTCGAAAGGAGTAACTTTTGTCCCGCAGGCGAAATAAATAGGATCATCTTACGAAGCTCGCATTGTGTTTTGTTTGGCTCACAATGACGACACACGAACTGATCGCAGACTATTGTCACTCGCAAGTTTCCGCATGTAATAAGAAGAGAAAATCGTTCCGTCAGTTCTACCAAAAAATTGACGCCATTTAGCACGGTAATTTTGATAAAAAGCAAAAACAAATGCACCTCTACTACCATTAAATTACCGTTATGAAGAAGGGAAACTGCGTCCTATCATATCGCACAATAACATATATCCTTTGAAGTACAGACACAGTTTGACGAATTTGTCTTTTTGCGCGATTACTGTCATTTTTTCTCATCAGCAATAACATTTTTCAATAAATACGTACCACAGACTGAAGCGTTCTTTTTTTTGTTGATGCTGACACGCAGCGTATTCATCACGAACGAAGCTGTCCCGCTCGGCAACGTCTCCAAGGGAGCCCGTCTGCTCCATCGCTTGTCGTGTCACGGCCCGTCGTGCCGTGCTGTACGTCGTGCACTCGCAACCGCCGTTACGAAGCGGTCGTGGTCGTGCACAGAACGTCCTCGTAGCAACCCTGATTCTCCTTCGACCGTAGTGGCATCAGCGCAGCGATGATCTACATCGTGTTTTTTAGACCAATCAACATCTATGAATAAATAGCAAGGCCAGCATCGAGTATCGAGGAGTATTGAGCAGCGTCAATAAGCTGAACTGCTTTGAGCGTTACCGGGCAGAATAAAACATTAGGCAGAGTCGGCGGCCGACGAAAGGGGTCTGTGGAGTTCGCCTCGCGCAGTAACCAGATGTTGCCAAAGCACCACTAGGGAACAAGACGCGTACACCCTTAATAACCAAAAAAGTACCTGAGTGGCTTCTCAGCGCCTGCTGCCGATCCACGCTACTCGGGTGACGTCTGGTCCAGAGTAAAAAAGTATTAAAGCAAAGATATTTGGCAATGCCGGCCTCTTCTAGAATGTTTTTCTATCTTGGTTCATATTCTTTGCAATAATTTTTGTAACTAAATGTTGTGCTTATTGCTACTGTTACTGTTGTCGTGGTTGTCGTTGTTGCCGCGTCGAATCAAGTAACCGATATTGACCGTAACGGTTTGTATTCTTCAACCGTCTGAGACACAAAATCCCACTTCTAAAAATCAAGACCCAACGCGGCACCACTGACGGTATGTATCGCACCACACTTACAGCCAGTATTCAGAGATCACACAACCTATAGGTAACAACACTCTTCAGCAGACTGCAGTCAAAGCAGTACTCGTCGTCAGTCAGCAGGAATAGCAATAATACGAGCACGCCGATTAGCGCGCGACACGATGGCGTAACATAGACGCAATGAAAACGTTTTCATTTTTTAAGAGAGAGAAGAAACAACACGCCAGCGAAAAAGATAAAGCAAATATGGTAATTAATTGTACAAATAGCGGTTAGAATTTCTCCGAACAGGATATCACACAGGAGAGGAACACGCACGGCAGGTTACTCCAAAGGAGAGAAATGATCCTGTGGAACACCACTGGCCGGATGACTACATGGAAATAAGGAATGGCCTATTGATCAAAATACTCCAATGTAGTCCAAAGCCGTCAAGCTCATGTCATTAGGCGTCTATAGTCCTTCATGTACGTGTACGTAAACATACACACGGCCATCCACTGTATTAAGGGGTGTAAAGTAGTTTTCGTGGCTTGAATTACGTCGGATACTTAAATAACTACCATTTTATATCGACAAGTGATCGCGGGTGATAAGTAGGGTGCGCACCACAGCAATTGCAGCATTTTAAGCACGATAAGACTTAGGTAGCAGAAGTGCTCCATCTCCTGCTGTTACACTCTCGTCCACGTACGATTGTGTACGGCATTCAGGTTTGCCTGTTCACTTTGGGCGGCATCACATCGCATAGCAATAGCACAGGGGCAAAGCCCAACGACATTTAGCACACAGAAAACATTACATCAGCGGCTGGTCTTGCCGTTTCCGTTTGTTGTCCTTTTTCTCTTTTCCTCCGCTGCTATAGCAATTGAAACAGGGGATGGCAGTGGCGGCGGCAGCAGCGGCTCTCGATCTCGAATTGGACATTCCATGAGTCCATTCTTCCAATCCTCCACGACGGAACGTACTGCACGCGCCGAGGAAAGACGACCGTGCCGAGCCGTGATGAGTAGCACCTTTCGCTTTGCCGCGACCCGCCTGCCCCAGTTGCGATGCTGCGTCTGCTGGAACTCAGCCGCTGTCCTCGTTGAACGCAACTTGATTCGTTTGTACGGCGGTAGCTGGGGTGACTGCTGTGGCGCGGCACCTCATGCGTTCTCTCCTTCCCCGACTATCCCTGCTGGCTCTCTGCTTCTCTTTCACTCGCAACAGCAGCTACTGAATGCAACGTCGCGCGTTTGGCCGCAGAGTGGAGGCGAAGAGCGGAGGGAGTAGCGCTTCGTGAACACACACCATTGTAGAATAGAGGCAATCACAGAGAACAAGCTCTTTGTGTAAAGAAGCTCCGAATTACCGGCCAACTTTTTCTTGGTTATACTAAATTGTCTCTTAGAGCTGCCGGCCAACCAAGAATACACAAGGAGCCCCAGCCTCTCTCACTCACACTGCTGGCTCAGTGTTGAAGGCCCTCCCCATTCCCCCCTTCGCGCACGCACCTTATTTCCGTTTCCACGACGTTACAAAAAGACGCTGTAAAGTGCTTTCGACAGAGTAAATCAAAGCCTGGTATTAGAAAAGAAAAACCAGACATATGAACTCATTTATAACCCCCTATTAAAAATGTTTCGCTCTTATTTAGCGGATTGCGCTTACTGGCTTGAAATCAATGCTAACGTAACCCATTCTCACTCAGTAGTCTCTGCCATTGCTCATTATTATATGCCATACCTGTATTAGGCGTAAATCGACACCAGTTTAAGCACGCTAGTAGTCTAAGGATATATTGTCAACCATTATTTGTATAGATGTTACTTCGCTCTGCCCGGTCTGAAGAACTACCTGCTTCTAATGAATAACAAAAATAAAGCATAGTATGAAAATTAATTGTATTTAACTTAATGCAATTAACACTTAGGTGTGCAAATTACAGATCACCATGATACTATATTTTTCCGCAATGTGCCCCCCCCGGCCCCGCAAAAAAAATGCGTACCAACCCTTTTAAAAATGTGTAGATAATTCCCGTTAGACGAGCACTTAGGCTGTGTGCTAAGAATGTATTCGTCATTAATTCCTTACCCTTCGTTAACCCCAATCTACCTGCGTCTGAACAGATACGGAGAGAAAATCCAAACAGCACTTTTTGAATCTCAGATTAAATAAGATGCAAAATTGAAGCTTCATTTAGCTCAAGACAATAGCTCGAATTGAATCTTAACTGATGTTTGCGCCTAAAGGACGTCTACAGTGGTCCTGCGAATGTTATCAGCAATGCTTTAGATATTCGAGATGAATTTCTGAATATGTAATACATTTTACACTCATACCGCTGATAGTCCTCTCTCCCACATAACAAAAGTGTGTTTGAATTTGAAATCGTAAGTATTATTGCGGTTCAGTGAAACGCTTAGTTCAGTGCAGCAGCAGTAGTAATAGTTGTAATAAAGAAGATCTCCTCCAGGAGACTTCAACCGCTCAGAGACAGGCCAGCAACAGTTTAAAGGGGTTCCGGCCCTTTGTTGCGTGATTAGCATACTCAGTGTTTCGGAGCGAGTCGTCAATCTGTGTCCTCGCTGCTGTGGACGCTTCATCTGAAACATCCGGTGGACAAAATTTACTATGACATTCGAGATACAGCATCGTACGTTGATCGCATCACTTTTCGAGGTTCAGATTGACGACACATCGTCTACGCGGTTATAACATGATATTAATGAAAGAAACGATATAATTTCGTGTACTAATTCACCGATCGGTTGGGAAGAAGGTATTGAGCTAGTACTTCGAGGGGTATTCAGCGTTAAACTCTACTACTTCTTGTTTCTGCTCGTTACATCAGTAGATCTGTGTAAGTTTTATAAGCAGCGATATTTCGACCACCGCTCATACGCAGCCATTTTGCCACTGACATGAGACGATGAAAACAACGCTCGAAAAAACTATGTACTACAACCTTAAAAGATCAGAACGGTGAAAAGCGGCGACACTCAAACTGCGCGATACCAAGAAAGCACTTGTTTCTCGGAACAACGTTAAAAGCTCGCTAGGAGCGTCACAAATATTTTTACTTAAAAAAAATACCTATAATTCCGTCAACGTCAGAGTAGTACGTGGACATATGGTCAAATAATGAGCTCGTTACATTCATAACATATCATTCATTCTAAGAATGGCGTTTTGCTTAACAAGAGATGCATTTCGGACATTCCTAATCGTTGTTCCGTCGCTATAACAGACAGTACCGGATGTAATAAAATTTAAAAGCACATAATTTATTAGCTTAGAGAAACACTTTATAACGCAGTAAATACGAAAAGAGTACATGTCTTCTCACGTATATATCTTACTGATGATATGTCCCACGGCAAGATAGAATACCTTGAAATAACGCAAACACACACACACAGAAACAAACGTATTCGCAAAAGGCCAAAACCCGCATCTTGATACCTCACTCAGTTGTGGTAAAGATTTTGTAATGCAACGGAATACGTCTGTTTTCTGTGTGTAGGGCACCTTGGGCCGCTCCCTTCAGGGATGATTAACGACATAAAGTGTCGAAGGCGATACGCCATCACCTAGCTAGAGTGGTGCTTTGTTTTTAAGCTGCTTATCGATATGGAGTCAGCACTTTTGCCCTAACTCGATCAGCTAGCCACCCCATTTGATCTATGCGGAGTAGCTGAAGACAGGGAGTGTTCTTAAAACCAGACCTTAGAAACACGTAAATCAGATCATTTTAGCTATCTAATAGCTTCGGGTGCTGTGTATTGTGATGCGTTTAGGCCAAATGCAATATGGCATGAACGCTATGAAAAACTTAGCCATGAGGTTGGAAATTTAAACTAAGACCTTTATCAGAACTAATAAAGTGTAAAAGCTAACAAATGTCGACTGACAGCGTACGAACAGAGACTTGAAATATTTTTCATTTTATTTATAACATTTTGAATAAGGTCACTTTTCCAGGAGCGTAATCCCAAATACATAGCATCAGTAAAAGTACTGATGCTATGTATTTCTTCGGATGGAGTACCACTCGTGGAATTCTATTTTAAAGACTTAAGCTAATGAGCAAATATTCACGTCTACTTATGGGCATGATCTTTTCCAGATAACATGTGTATGTCTCAGCTATAATAATTATCATTAACATTCACACGATGCAAAAAGATATCCTTTCTTTCAAACTATTCCTTACTATTATGTGTCGTTTCAAGCGACACCTATCATATACATTAACCACAAACTTCGATTCAAGTACGGAGCATGGGTCCCGCGATTACCCCCAAGTGGCACTTTCCCACACACCGGTCTATCTGAATAATCGACTGCATCTCCATACAATAATACAGAATTGTGTGTCAATACATTGCTGTTTTTTCCAAGGGGGAATATGTTTTCTCCGTCCGTCCAATTTCTTCATACGCGTTAAAAGTTGGCGCCAGATTTTCGAACTACTCCTCATCCGGCCAATTGATGGGTAGCTCTAAGTGCCGTGTATCTGTCGACTTTTGCGTGGAGAGGGACGACCCTCGAGAAAACTGAATGGAAACAGACCTCGTACGTGGCTTGGTGAATGCCAGCCGCGTCTACTATTGTTCGCTGTGACTCAGGTAATAACCACCTGCCCGTTAGAAACAGCTGTGATTAACGACAGCGCGTGTATGTGTGCCCCTCGTGTAACACCAACCAGTATTATCTATCGTTGATGGCTTACACAAGTAGTGGAATATGCTCAAAAGGACCGGGCGTTTAGTTTGCAGATTATATATATAAGAACAAACGACAACAGGTGGTAGGAAAGATTTTCTGTTATACGGACAACATCACTACTGAGAATCAACAAACCTGTCAAGATTATGCAGTGTCTGGACTAAAGCAGTATATGTCATTGGGAAGTTCCACTAGTTTGAAGCGAGAAAACATTGGCCGCCGCACGAACGTGATGCTTTGTTACACACCGTATTTGGCGACCTAACCTTTGCTAAGCCGGAATTAATCGATTTGATTTTCGACATTCCCGCTAGATTCCAACCATCTATAAGTGACGACGTTTGGGAGTTAAGGCAAGCGAAGTCGTTCGACACTATGATCATCCCTTTTTATTCTTATGGTAGAGGCAGTTATTGTGTCGGTTCTATTTCTCATCAATTTCGAATAGACGTTTGCTTTTAGGTTAAGATTAAAATTCGGAAAAACATCGATATCCAGCGCACTGTCGAAGACCGAAAAGTCTCTATCTCGGAACAGTTATATATTCTAGTGGTACACAGAAAGGGCGAAACCAGTGGATCAAATAACTAATGGCCACCTCTCATTAACCACATAACTGTCACACTGTTGTATCACCAATCGCCCACGTGTTAAAAAGCTGGCGTTTCTGTTCTGTATTTGCTATTACGAGAACAGACTCTGGTAGATTATCTGGCGTAAGATCACTTCATTTTGAGAGAGGATATGTAGATTATCTATCAATAGATGACGCTTAATAAATATAGAACGATTCAATTATTATTTATGAGACAACTGACTGTTGTCTCGACTAGATGTGCCTTCTGCATTGTTATCGAGTTCTACCCTATCTTTTAGCGTTGTTCTTCGAGTAGCTGTTCCGTGAATTACGTTTGGTGTGTTAGTCCTTTGTGGTGGCCTTTGCACATGATAGTCTATGATCTAAGCCTATGACAACGTAATGTTTATACTGGCAATATTTGCGATCCGTAGACCTTATTAACATGGCCCTGTATATTGCTTGCGCATTCGCCACTACAGCGCCACTATAAAACAGGCTTCTAAAACTTATCGTATGATATTTCATTAATATGCTCAATAGAATTTATCACGTTGTAGGCTGTCATTTTTTCTTTACCACAGTCTGCAAATCATTATTGTTTGAAAAAACATTATTTACGCACACTAGAGCTTCAAACACTACATAGGTTGATGACGTTATGCTGATGCACACTCTCATCGTATATTGCATCTGTACGACTACAGCAGGCGGAGATAAGCATGTTTCGACGAATTCAACGATTCTCCACCTCAGCCGTCCTTCGGTCACCAAAAACTGGCATCCTTATGCTAAACATGGGAGGGCCTCGTACCATCGCCGAAGTTGAAGGTTTTCTCACGAAACTTTTTACTGATCCGGATATCATTCAGCTACCCTTGCAAACAATTTCAGGTGAGCCCTTTACAATATTATCGACCAGCCGTTCATTGACTGGCCATATATTTTCATAAGAACAAAATTTCTCATCGCAATTCAGTTGCACACTGCTTCCCAAAAATGCATGCAGTTCAATATATCTGTTTCCTATTTTAATAGTTATTACGGAACAATACCTATTTTTCAGGTCCGATAATAGCAAAACGTCGGACACCAATGGTTCAACAGCGATACAAAGAGATAGGCGGAGGCTCTCCTATATTCCGTTATACGAGCAAGCAAGGCGACTTAATGTGCAGTCAGTTAGATAAGATTTCACCTCAAAGCGCACCCCATAAAGCATACGTTGGTTTTCGCTATGCGGCCCCATTCAGTAGCGATGCTTTGCAGGAAATTAAAGAAAATAATGTCAAGCGTATCGTGGTGTTTGCACAGTACCCCCAATATTCGTGCTGCACTACAGGCAGTTCACTAAATCAGCTGTGCAAGGAGGCAAGGGACGACCCAGCTTTAAAGGAGGTCCAGTGGAGTTTTATTGACCGATGGCCTTTAAACGACGGCTTAGTGGATTCATTCGTTGACGCAATCCGAGATGAAATGAAAAAGATACCTGAAGAGAAACGAAAAGATCTCGTTCTCGTATTCACGGCCCACTCGTTGCCGTTGAAGGTTGTGGCCAGAGGGGATACCTATCCGGCGGAAGTGGGTTCAACGGTATTAGCCGTCATGAAGAGACTAAACTTTACGTACCCTTATCGACTCGTGTGGCAATCGAAAGTTGGCCCCATTCCCTGGCTGGCACCAAAAACAGACGAAACGATCAAACGCTTGGTAGCGCAGGGGCGTAAGGTCATCATGATGGTACCGATTTCATTTGTTAACGAACATATTGAAACATTGCACGAGCTGGACATTGAATATGGAAAGCAGCTTGCTAAAGAGATCAAAATCGACAAGATCTACCGGGCGCAGGCACCGAACACAAATGTAAATTTTATTAGAGGTCTTGCTCAAGAGGTGAAAGCTCACTTCGATTCGGGAACAAACGCGAGCCCCCAACTGAAAATGCGGTGCCCTTTCTGCATCAATCCCGACTGCATAAAACTCCGTCAATGGATAAACAAATGCTAGTTTATTTGAATCGATCAATGGACGGAGTACAGCTTTTCGTCTTTTGGTTGCTCCTTGCCGCTGTTAATGTATACACACATGAAAAAATAGGGATAACTGAGCGACGATTATATATGTATAGGCAAAATATGAAATCTAACCTTATGCGGCCTGCAACATTATTCTCATTTTAAAATGCGCCGGGATGCAACGAGCATACCGTTCTTGAGTTTTAAATAATGATCTAATTTCTACCTAGCTTTCACTAAATTACAACGGCTTGTGTTTGATTTACTTGAATAATAACAAAACAACTTTCTTTTATTGTTATTACAAGCAAGGACAATATTCAGTTGTGCTCGTAAGATGACTTTGCAATAATTTATACATAATATACAGTCATTGTAGCAAATATATAGTTACATATAGTTGGATCACTTTGAAACTGAATATTTTTTATTTGACGCAACATCATCGCATAAAGTATCGTTCGACTTGTATGTTTTGAGAATGTTTACCTGTAGAATGTTCAATAAATTTCACTTCAGTAGTTACTGATACATGTCACATCCCATAGAAACATCTTTGGAACACGATACTGTACCATTGCATCGTACTTTTTGCACAATTCGGACATTTTTTACTCTACTGAGCTAAGCGCAATTTGCCATTTATCAATGCACCTTTCAATGTAGCACAATCGAAAGAAGTCCTTATAACGTATACCTTTTGACAACAATTCCGAACTATTTGTCGGACTACAATTCATACAACTTTTTTTTTTGCTGCCTAAAATTCACGACGCTTTACATTACTCGTTATAGGACTATTTTAACGTAGAGAACATCTCCGGCTATAATAAAGATCTGTTTTTTGCCGCTTAATTCGCCATTTACTATATCAATTATTCCTAAAACGACTATTACAGTAGAAGAAATTGGCTGGCTGATGTGACAAGCAATGGGAACACCGTTTACAAGCGGAATAATTTGAGTCTTTACGTAACTGACGCATCACGTGATCGCTATACATAGGTTATCAGCTTTAACATTCAAACTGCATAATCACGGTTTCATCTCAAAAATTAGATTTACCCTCACATCACAACTTGTCTCTGCTTCCATTCGTAAACTGTAAGTGGTAAAATAATGCTTATAAATAGTACTGTATTGGCCCTACACAGTCAACGTATGTTTATATAAGGTATCGTTACATTAGCTCTTGTAAGGACTTAAGCAGAACAAATCGGTCAGCTTTGCGTAAACTCAAACGCAAAATTCTCATACTTCGCAATTGATCTCTGTTGTGGTGAGATCCTGATTGCAATAAAATGCTCGGATCGAATGTGCCTGGCAACATTTTTCTCACAATTAGTCCAGCTTCTGTTTATTACCTACACCTGGCTTAAGGGCAATGAAGGTTGTCTAATGATAAAACAAGCTTGAATTAAATCCTGATTACTGGGACGACGCTCGTCAGTGTTAGAATGTTTTTTTATGCCACAGAATCATTGTGAGACTCCAATCACTTCCGAAGCGACTTCTTCGTGAATAGTAATAGCACGAAACTTATATTTTGAGAGAAGTTCGCCCAGGGTCTGTAGCTTGGTATGCAAATGCCTGGTCTGTAAGGAGATACGAAAAAAATATTTTGTCACCATTCTTTATACAATCATTTTACGCTTATTATATTCTGTTACGACATGCTTCTAAATTTATAATGTATATTTATATATTAAAGGCTAGCGGTGTATTACTCAGAGAAAAATAATTTTGAATTTATTTCGACAAAAAACTCAAAATTCGAAGTTTGAAGAAATAAAGAAATTTAAACTGAGCTGACTTTTAGTATGTACCTACACTGAACAACAGTGGAAAGTAAATTATAAGTATTCTCGGCAAAAACATCTTCAAAATACTTCTTCTTGTTAGTCTTGGTATTAAGTTGACCGGTTCTATTTTGCAGAGCGCAATTAATCAATTCCACTTATAATGAAAGCAACTGCTCCAAAAGAAGAAGCAATTTTTTTTAGCAAAGTTACAGACTATAATTAAAGATTATATTAAAGGCTTTTTAAAACTTCAATTGGTTCCTAATTGGGGGGGGGGGGGGGGGCCTTAAATACAAGGACAAATTAGCGAGGATTTAGAAATGCTTCAAGCCTTGTTCAACGATTCAGTCAAACGGTGATTTGGTTATCTAACTTACAAAATTATAATCCGCTGGAGCAGGCGACGTATGTAAAAGATCGTGCAGGTGTTGGGTTCGTTTTAACACTTTCTGGCAGAACTCGAGTGTTCTTATATGCATGCCGTTTGCAGCTTTCGAAGTAATGGCAACATACCTGCAAATACCACTTTTCATTGACATCACTTGCCAGAGAAAACCTCTCTATCATAATGATCTTGTGATCATTACGATGTAATAACTAAGCTTAGTACTATCCAACCAAAGTTTCACTCTTTATATACAATGTAGAGTGGAAAATAAAATAACAATTGTAATACTGGTATATACGCGGTTATTATGTTTATAGATAATTAAACAAATTCCGTATTTATCGCAAAAACAACAGCTTTTTTCTTATAGTATTACGTAACGCCATATTCCATGTGCGGATAATATGCGCCCTATTGTGCGTCATTACTTTAGATGTAGTGAAATCAGCGAAGATCAAATTTAATCTCTTAAGCGTTAGAGTTATTTTTTTTGCATTTTAGACTGATAAACATAGTTCAGATAAGCTTACCCTGGCAGTGCATCAAATGGAACGTCATCAAGACTACGATATGCATTAAATAGATCCACAGGGTGATTGATGTGAGTTGGACTGCCTTTCACGTGCAGTCTTCCCCCTTCGAGGAAGCGGACCTGCAGATGGGCTGTGCAGTATGTCGTCTTGGCTCTATTTCGAGCTCGTCGGTCTGTTTTATATGTTGTCGTCTTGCACACTGGCTTCGATTCCATTCTAAACGGATAAAAAGTAGAGTACATATAGGGTAAAAGTAAGCTTTTGTTCTGCAGCACAGGTTTTACCTGCTGATACGTACAGTACTACGATGAAAAAATGAACTTGAGAAGTATTGTTGGTTTTTGCTGTTAAATATACAATTGCGCTTTTTACTTAAAACACACATTTGAAGATAAGAATTAGCGGCAATTAAGTAACTGCAAAAAAGGTAATTCTGCGAGAGGATCTTTTTACGCACCTCTGTATTTTAAATAGACGTAACGTATACCTACCTAACTGATAACATAATTGACAGCCCACCTGCATAGATACATCTGGGTTTTAATTCCAGAGGCATTGACGTTTGTCCTATACTTGCTGTAACCTGTCATGAACTCCACCGTAATTAACTCCAGCCACTGTTCAAACTGATCCGAAGAGTCGAACTCGAGGTCGAACAGCACAAACTCTTGAGCTATCGCAGCGGGTCAATGAATATCAAGTCAATTGTCAATGGTGAAATAATATTGACCAAATAAGCATATATATTATATATTTGGATCGCAATAAATAGAAGCATGTGTTACCATGGCTCTCGTGCATATGGGTGAGCAGATCAAGACGTTTCAGGAACACCCTGGGGCAATGTGGACAAGCTCCTACTCCCTCCCTTCCACTCATCCGGGCCCGTCCTGGCATTATTGCTATCTAAAATAGAATAAACACCAGTACGCATTTCTGCGAATTTATTTAATTCTCAAGTTGCTCAGGATGTAATTTTTTCGCTTGCTCTTGTAATTGTTCTAGGTAGTTTGCAGTAGAACGAAACAACTGGCTTAAATATAATCAGGCACTTTTTCGAGATTTTGAACGAAGCTGTGCTCGAACTTTTTGGTTTAAAATGCTCAGAAGTAAATAATTCTATCTTGAAAAAATTAAGCGAGGTTATGACTAGTTGTACTTACCGGAACTTTTTTTGTACGAATATATTTAAGAAAGGCGCCACGACCAACTTCTGGTAATTTGTAGCCGTGAGTAGTTGGCAGATGATCCGCCAGTTGCAAGGCTTCCATCGATTGGCCGCAAAGAAGACACTGCAGCTCATCGACAAAGGAACGATCCTCGTACCACCGGCTTACAGATGTTCCAGACGGCTGCTTCGGCAAGGTCGCACCAACAACTTCTATGCACACACATAATAGATATAAAAAATGGACATTAATAAAATGTTGCGTGAGTTAAACGAATCTTGGTGTAGAAAAAAGACAGGTTTTTCCTGCCCTACAACCCACACGCTACAACGCTAAACAAGGTATCAATGTTATTCATGTCCAAACGGAAATATCTTTAGGGATGGGTTGCCCGTTCCGATGAAAATGAATTACTTGAAATGACGATACTTTTCGTTTGCTCACAAAATTGACTGCTAATGAAAACAAAGAATATGCCGCTAAAATTATGTAAACTGCACTTCAGTTTACCAAGAGATGTTCTTTATTCAAATGTTCGAGTTCCAGCGTCGAACCCCAAATCGAATACCAAAGTCTGCAAAGAAAAATGCTGCATGGTAATTGTGGCTTTCACCTGAATCTTTGCTGTTTCGTTCATCGCTTAAAAATATGTCTCCGTTAACGCCTGATATTACGGTGTGTCCTTCGATTGCATTCTGAGTATTGTGATGACCGGTAACTCCTACTGCAAATTTGTCTACAAAACGTATCAAAATATCCTCTCATTCACTATATATATATATGCGTACTTCATAAATAAAAAAACTAACGAAACAGGTCAGTTCCCTTAGGTGTTTTTTGGGCCAAATATGTTATATGATGACGACCTACGCTTGCCATTGTGAAAATTTATGATTAAATAGTAGAAGCTTAACGAAAATTTTTCTCTGGCTAATCCTCATAGCTTTCTGACTCTAAAGCCTTTTGAACATTACTGCAGAAGTCATGAGGTTTAAATGAGTTACAGGCCTCAAGCTGGAATTGTAGTATTGTATTTTTTTATTAAGGCCTTGCTCAAAGTACCGTTTCTTAGAGCAAATATTAACTTACCTCGATGTGTTGAAATGTGATCTATATCGGAAAGTTCCCCAATATCTTCATCACCACTTTTTAACTGCTCTAGATGCACAACGACAGTTTTTTGAGCTTCTTCGAATTTATTATCACCTTTAAGTGAGTGCAAGTGCACCAGAATTAGAACTAGTTTTCAAGGATTCTCTCAACTATGTTGTTTTCGCTACACCCCTACCGATTCCTACCGCTAAGAGTCGAAACAACAATGCATAGGATCTAACTTGAGCCACGTGAGACCGATAACGAATACACGCTTCGAAAGTTACAATGATAACCATGAATATAACCTATCTCTCGGTATTTTTAACACACGCTCTATCTAACAGACAAGCTATCATAACCACCCACTGTAATCGATTATGTATTTAAACTTTTATGCCTTTACAAATCTATAAAGAACAGCTGATACGCAACCTGATCCAATAAACATAACTGGTATAAGCACAGCCGTTGTAGTAGGTTCTGCCGTCCTTCCCACAGCTTCGCCTATGGTTGTTTGTGCGCTCATGTATACGGTCTGGCCTGTATTAGACAATGCTTCGGTATCGTTACAGGCTGCAATTGAACACGTGGAGATACTTGAGGTCTGTGTTTCATCTCGCGGCACTTCTTCGTTATAGGTTCTTGTTGAGCAAAGTGACGATGAGTCCTTTGTTCTGATGTTTGTTGGGGCAGATGGTACTGAACCTCTGGCCGCCGGTGAAATCGATGGAGCCGCACGTTTTGGGGATGGTGACTGGGGAGGTAAGCTTGGTGGAGTCCCACTGCTGATTTTGGTAGAGTTCCTTTTACGCGTGAGAATTCCAGGTTTCCATGGTTCGAGGGATGATTGCTGATGATGATGGTGATGATGATGTTGCTGTTGCTGCTGGTGATGCTGCTGTTGTTGATGATGGTGGTAACGATTTTCAGGTACCGTATCAACCGTTGAGGTTACGGTCGAGAGAAATGTCTGCTTGTTCCTCATATTGGAATAACCTTTTGGAAGACACACACATTTGCACATAGCGTAAGGGCCGTAAATAGAGCAAAATGGCAATTTTTTTTCATTTCATTCACTGTTGGAAGTAATAGAATGTGTACTACTTCTGTATTTATACCCGATAACTGGCAAGCAACATACATAAAACGACAGTCATATTCATTCTTTGACATATGACAAGCTTTGCAGATCAGTTTGTTTGAACATTATCTAGGTAATGTTTCGGTGATTTGTTATATGCGTTTGCTTAAGAAATCGGGCGCTTATAGTACCGACAGTGGTAATGAACTACAAGGTGTGCTGAATGGACGTTTTCTTTAAGGTTTAATCGTTAGGAATAGCCTTAGTGTGTAATAATACAAAGACTAGCTGTAAGATCGTTGTTTTGCTGAGGAACTTAGAAACAGGAATGCGCGATTCTAATGATGTACATAGGTCTTCTACATATATAATATTAATAACTTAATATAGTGCTATTATGTTGAGCTTCGAACAGTAGATGTTACAAATTGTTAGAATTTTGTTGTTCCCTCATTTAGAGTCTAAATGTCATAGCAAGCTATAAGGTACGTCTAAGATTTCTGAGCAACAGAGGAAAACAATTCGTGTCCCTACTAAACTTCAATGAGAGTCAATTGAGTAACGATATCTACTGTCTAGCGGTCCTCCATATGAAAGCTATCGCATATGGATTGTTTTTGCCACGAGTTGGAACGTAATCTCAGACAGTTTTGAACTGCTTAGCTGGCTATCGACAAGGGTTTTCGTCTAAGTACTTTACTGAGGCTAAACTGAACTCACTCAACTTCGCGCCACGGGACAAGTTTAATTTTTCCACGGGAACCGGCAGTACAGGAGCTTCGATGCAGCCTGTACAACCATCCCAGACAGGTATCGCTCGACATTGATGTATCCATCGAGCCGACGTAAACATTCGATTTGCCAACTGCAGCAGAACTTCGAAATCGTATGTGCTATGGACACTTAAAGTTAGAAATTATGCCCGAGAAGATAAAGCACCCTGTTCTGTTTTCTTTTTTGGAACAAAAGAAAACATTTTAACTTTATAAACTTACTAAATATTGTAAACGAATGCTATTTTTCCAAGTAATCATTAGAAAAATCTATGATAGCTTTATGTCGTGTGTATGTGCTAGGTGACGTGGGAGATCGCTATAACCCAACTTGAATTGTTGTAGCAGTGGGAACTCGGACTGGTGTTACGGTTTAACTCAATCATGGAAATTGGAAAACTCAACGGTACGATGTAATAGGTGCTATGCAAGTCAGCCTTATCACTAAGTTACCTTTATTTAGTGACCGTTCATTTTCGTTTTAGCACTTCATTGTCTATGAAAGCACGTAAATTTAAGAGCCTAGAATAGCTCGTCTTTCGTCTGGTTGGAAACATTTTGTAATCTCTAATAACCTATTGATAAAAAGTCTTTTTTGAAATTCCGGCCAAGTGTGAGTACTGTCAGTATTTTTGAAAGCTACGTACTGCATTTTCGTCTAGTGTTAGGTATGAAAAATATTTCAGTTATTTACGAATATGATCGTTAATGGTACGAAACATAGCTGCGCATGAATATAGTTGAGGCGCTCGTATATCTATTTTTATTTGTAATGGAATTGCCAGGGCCCTTATGATACAGCAAGGCTCTCTATACTCGAAACAGAGATAAATATTAACCACTAAGCTGCTTCGATCGTACTGATCGCTGGGTGCGACTTTCGGCAAATCTCCTACTGTTAGTACCTTGCATACTATAAACCATATACAGAAAACATATTATTAACATTCACATGGCTTTCTTAATTTGGATTTCAGGTGCAGCGAACGATCCAAATGCAATTCTAGTAAGTTTGCCGTGTAATTTTTCACTGAAAATCGAATACGTTGACTTTTTTCATTCAGTGTTCAATCAGTGTTTTTATATACAGGTATAGCGTAAAACGTAGAAAAATTGTTTAATTCAAATAATCCTTGTATTAAGCACGGCTTTTAAGAGCTTACAGCTGCAGAACTTTGTCTGTATCAAACATCCAGTTTCATATGTTACATATATATATATATATATATATATATGTTTGTCGAAAATATAGGATTTTTTGAGATCATTTCGTGACGAACTACTTGATCGTATGGGATCATTGGAAAACCGAGTTGCTACATTGGGTGACCACTGCAGACGACTCGAAGATCGAGCGCGCGGGTGTCGATGTTGTGCTCGGCATTGCGATCCTCCAGATGAAGCACCCAGGTATATTATAATCGTTTTGACCCGATGCAGAGATTTAAATATGAAGTGTGTGAAAAGCATAGTGTTTATATATGTAATTTTTGATTAGACAGATATTAAAGGTTCAAGTAAATGCAACATGTAACGAAACATCAATCACAAAACAGAGCATAGTTGTACCTTTCTCTTTTCCGTTTAATTTTCAGTGCATTTCCAGATGGCAGCGGGAAGTCATCGGACGCTGAATTAGGAAAGGACGGAGCCCCATACTTTGTCCATAATGGATCTGTGCTTCTTTCCTCGCTAAACGCCTATTCCGATTATCCACAGGTGCATAGTCTAATTGAAGAAGATTTTACCTGCTGTTCCTATACGAGATAAGAAAAAGTAAAGAGGTGTTGCTTGGAGGGAGTACCGTGATCCGCGACGTTATTGAATCCTTTATGTAATGTCCCGGATTCTCTATATAATAATAGATTTATAATCAATGGCTGCAAAAGGGTATTTTGCGAATAATGGGGCCAGTTGATCTATTTATAAGCTTAGCAGTAATGCCAACATCTGATATTCGCCATCGTGATTGTTATGGCTGCTGACCTTTTTACGTATCCGAATAGGGTAGTTGGTTAGGTGATGATGGTGATCCAAGGCGTCGGGTACGCGTACCAATTGATCCGAAAGTTCTCCTCAACGCCAATTCAACATGTCGGTCTCCAGAAAAGATGGCTCTGAAACTGCTCGATTTACTCTTCGATCGTGAAACTCAGGCTAATGGAAACATTAGCGGAAGTAGCAAGTACGGAAAGCAAAAACTCAATCCTGTCTTCATCTATGGGATTCTTTGTATGTATCTTTAGCACTTTCTTATTTGTTTAAACGTTAGGCTCAGAATTTGATTCAACCGATATTTTAGATAAAGGTTGTTCTATATACGTTATTGAGCACAGCATATGATTTCATGCCTGGGTATGAAATTATTAATAATCGTTTATCATATAAGCTTCAAATAGTTTTTGGTGCCAAATTGTTTTTGTAATCTATTATTGCGCCTTTTTATTTACGTATGTAATATATAATATATTTCAAATGTCCAATAATTATGTATCGTTGATTTTAAAGAAATTGATAGACAGAAATTTGTTATTTGGTCACTGCTCATTATACCTACCTGATCTCTCCTTCAGGTCATTTAGTGTACCTCTTCAAGATTACTGCACTTGACTGGGAACGCATTAAGCTCTCTATAGACTCCAAGTGCCGTTCGGCGCTTCGACGTAAACGAAAGGCATTAGAAATTAAACAGTCGACTCTAACACCTCCTTCGGCCCGTTTGGACGTTTGCTCCGCCAGTCACTACTTATCTACTGCAACCTGTGGGTTGGGGCAGATATCCACAAATGGGCAAACATTAAGCGTAGAAGGGTTGTGCTCGGACGGGATTTCATGCCTTGAAGGCCTACAAGAGAACAAGCGAATTTGTCAGGAATCTCCCCTAGCCAAAGATGCAGACTTACAAGGAAATGATCATGCTTTGGTACAAGTGCAGAATAAACAAGAGCGTACGGCGCCTTTGGGTCAGGTTCACCCACAGCAAGAACCAGGTTCACATGTTGCGACTGTACCTGGCACAGGTAAGAATAATTTATTTCTAGATGCGTTTGTCTCGAGAGTACGATCGTATAGTAATGATGTCTCAAAGGTCCGTCACAGTAGCGTTATATGACAATCGTACAGAACGCCACCCGAGTTAGTAGGGCGATTAACTTAAGATTTCGTGTATCAAAAGCTCCCAGCCCCGTAGATTCTTTCTTGACTCCATCTCATTTAACAGTTTTAACCGCCGTGAGGTATTCGCTTACTCAAGTATTTTGTCTTATGTTCCTGTGCAGCAGCATATGCTTAATTGTCTCTAGCTTTATCCATTAAAAACCTTAGTTTCTGTTTTGTAGCATGCCTCTCCGTGTCAGCATCAGTGGTGAAGCCCTTTTTGTGCTAGTGCTCTAGCCGTACATTTTCGGTTTTCTCGGGTCTATGTTGTTGCTCTACATGACAAAGCTCATTTCCTTTTTCATGTTATCTATCCGACGGTGTCCAGCTAAAAGTAACACTTACCGTTCGAATGTTATATTGTATTGACTCAGGCATGGCTTTTCGTTTCGTGCTTATTCATTATTTGCCTTTATAGACTGTTTCTAGACACAACGGTCGTAACAATAAATATAGGCCGTTTTCAATGCATTCTGGATATTCTAAACTTCGAAACTACTTTGTCCTTTCTGAGGGAAAAAGACTTCGGAAGATCTAAAGGAAATAACTTGCAGGTGGTGCTTTTATTTTGATAAATATAATTATTCAAATTCTCGTAGTTATTATATGTATCAAATAGTAGACAACTATGTTAAAAGATGCAGTGTCACACGGTTTTTGCTATTTGATTTTCCAAATATAAGACTGAATGGCGACTTTAATAACTGGTTGCCAAGGAAGAGTACAGGCTTTAACATCATTTTCTGTTGAACAGCAGGGACCAACGGAATAGTGCCTGGTTCAGTAGAGGAGACCTGTCCGTCACTGCTTCGAGCGGATTCATTTGAATTCAATGATTTGCTCTCGGGTGGAGAGGGTAATCCAGACGATCCCGAAGAATCCGAGGTCGTTGGCGACGTAATTTCATTGGATGCTGTGAGCATTATCCCTCATTTTATTGTTTTACTCATTTATTTTTAATACCTTTTCAGGCTCCATCAGGAGAATGAATTATTAGGTTGGAAAGGAAGTTCGCACTCTTAAAAAATATTTCCGTTAACACCTTACCTCCCTTATTGTTTACTGTGATATACCGCTCGATATACCGCTCAAAAGGCTTTATCAGTGTGTTGTAATGGTATTGTATTGTGGGTGCAATTTCAACTTGAAATAATCCCTTAAATGCGGATATTTCAGACAAAAAAGGTGCATTTTCGATACCCTAAGTACTATGCACTTTGTCGAGGCCAAAATATTGCTGAACAAGCCCGGAACATTTTTCGTATGTATCTACGCTATCAAGAATGTTCAAAGGTGGTTTTCCAAATTCGAAAAAGTATTGGAGACTAAAGAATGCCTTGTTCTGACAAACCGTCTGAATTTGATGAGAATCACCTGGAAATAGTAATAAGAAAAATAACTGAAAAATAACACGGGAACCGACCCAGAAAGAGGATGGGCTACAGTCACAGGAACGTCATTAACCGCTTTGATTATCTTTGATTTATATAGAAACTTAAGGCTTAAATATTTCATTAACTCTCTGAATCCCAAGGCCCAACCAAAGCTTTATTAGAAAAAAGTTATGCTTTGAATTTGGTAAGAATGTAAGGGTCTGATTCATTGGGGGTGACTTCCTACGAACCAAAGAGTTGATTGGCATCTGGTTAACTGAGCTATATGACAAAATTACCGGACAAACGAAGCCAAGTTATCGTGCTCCATGACAACGCCAGACCACTCACGGGAAGCATCATTAAAGCTGTCCTCATGAACTTTGAGTGGGAAGTTCTGTTGCATCCTCTTCGTTCTCCGCACCGCGAGCCCACTACTTTTGTTTTTACATTCACCGGGCAATCACCTTTAGGGCCTTTAGGGCAAATCAACAACTCAAAACGTGATTTGAAAACTTCTTTGAGACGAAATCCGGTACCTTCTGGCGGGACGATATATATCATTTCGTGAGCAGATGGAAGAAGAACGTAGGAATTACAGGATATACCTAACATAGTACCTTATTATCACAGGAGTAAACTTTTCTATCCCTTAAAAAGAGCTGCGAAATTTTTTTACATTATTATTATTTTCTTATTTATTTTTTATTCTGCAATCATGCTCGCTCTACATCTATGTAGGCGCTTACAAAACTATTCAGAGAAAATGTACCCGGAGGTATCTCAAAATAAGCTACGAAGCAAAATACTCGTGGCGAAGATGAATTACAAATTTCAACACGTTGCCTTCGAAGCTTTTGTCTAAATCCGTTTGAGTTTCACATAATATAACCGTATAAACTGAACAGTAAAAAACCAGAAAGGGGCCGATTTGTGGCATATTTGCTAGGGGATAGAGTAAGTGACAGAAATCGATGAGATAACTGGAATATTTGCAGACGGTCGTTTCCGACGAGCTGATGTCATCGGTATCCGAGTGCGGAGGCTATCTTGAAGTTCTTCAGGTATCTCCTGAAACTATGCTCGCTCTACAGCAGACGCATCGAGTACAGATGCAGTCGGATGGCACACTTATCGCCATGCCGTTAATCGCATCATTGGCTCCGCCCGACAACGTCACGGTTTCAGACAGCGGGGCCGGCAAAGATACGAAGGTAGAAAGCCACAAGCGTCTTCCCTTGTGACACCAGCGAATGCCCATGACGAACATAATCGTGAATAATTCCTAAGTGCTTTTGATGTACATTGTACGTCGGTGTTAAGGATTGTCGTTCGTCTACGGCAATTACACTGTACCACTGGCAGTCGATGCCAATCAATATGAATCTTGTATTTTTTTTTGTAAATATGTGTGTATATATAATAAATGTAGATTCCAATGTTTTACTAATAAGGCCTGTTTTAATTTTATTATATATTTTGATTAAATATTTCTGAATAAATTCACCTTATATACCGCCTAGGTATTTATTTTATAATCCACAGTGGTTATTGGGGGGCTTGTACTAGCAATAACCATTACATACAGATTATTTCATACAGTCCGTTCATTAAATGTATGGCTGATTTCATGTGCTACGAATTCATCTCAAACCAAAAGACCCGAGGGAACTGGAAAACATTAAATCAAATTAAACGTTTACCATAGTATAAGTAAATTAAGGATGCAGTAAGTTTTTGTTTTGAAAAATTAGAAAAACGTAAGTATTATGCCAGAAATGTGTACTCAATGGATAGGATGTGCAGTTTTTTTGTTGCCAGTGTTTCGAGGATCAATTCCTTGAACGTAAAAATTAAACCTTTTTTAAAATATCAAAGTTTAGCGATTTGATTTTGCCGCTTACGTTCGATGTTTTGGACGCTTGACAGCACGTTATTTACCCTTCAAACCTTCCTTTTTAAGAAGAACTATCGTTTACCTTGAAATACAAATCGAAGCAGGTCACGCATCCACCCTTTTAATATCTTTCAAACGCTAACAGTGTAAACCGCCTTTTTTTGACTCAGTCGAACATAAATTCGACAAGCTGCAACTAGAAATGTCAAAATTTCTTATTAGGCTAGGTAGATAATAGCAGCAATTGAAACCGTATGAATGTACTATATATTTTCTATCTATTAAGGCATTAGGATAATGGGCGAACTTAAACGGAAGAAATTTTACCTTTTCTTAAACCACGCAATAGGTGTACTTGTCAAAGCACAACCGAGAAACTTTACAAGTGGCGTTTAGGTGCTATCCCCTACAGTTTGTTCTAGTGGTATCTTATTCTATTTTATTGATTCATTTATTTTTTCGACATTTTTGAACGCTGAGTGTTATGCGAGTGAATACAACCCAGACGCAAAGCTATTTTTATTTAAGCTAAATGCTAATTAAGCTGCCAGGCTAAGTAGAACGTAATGTCCGCTTAAACTAACAAAGAGCGTTATGGTCTTTGCCAATTCTAGCAGTAAGTTATAGATTAGTTTGTTGTCATCCTTACGACTCTTTCAAATTTTACAGTTTATTGCGTCTTATCAGAAATTTCATTGTCTGGTGTCCAATATACTGTCCAACTAGTTTTTAAGAGCCTTTTCGTTGACAACTTCGTATCAGAGTATAAATACATCTCGTAGTCGCCAGTATTGCGTAAGATCCTGTCATTGTGACTACGTATTTTTTGGCTCCATGTGAGGTGTTGTAAGGTGACATAGACCCGTGGTTCTTTATAATCTTTACTCAGTTTGGAAAGCACTTAGGCTTGAAATTATGGAGTAAATTCCATGAAGATCGCTGGTGATAGTCGTATAAATCTAGTTCACCTTGTCGGCCCATTTACAGTTGTTGGTCACGAGAGTTCTTCATCGATCGAATCGGAGTGCATCCTTCAAACTCAAAATACTACCTTTGAACATAACAAGCGACCTCCGACGAGCTTTTCATTCTTAGAATTTCCACACAATTCGCCACAAATATCTTGGTCTACTCCTTTTTTCTTAGCTGTTTATTTGTAGCTTTTTAAATAAGCAAGGTATTTTTTTATAAGGAACGTCGATCTTTGAAGCTTAAATTGGAATTAAAATTGTATTCACTAGACAACAAAATTAAACAAAATCGGAGAATAGAGAACGCTTTCTAGAATAGAGGAGAATAAAAGTAAAGAAACATTAGAGGAACGAAAGAAAAACTTTTTTTTGACTAATTTAACATATATATGTATATACAAAACACAATTTTTATGACTTGGTGAACATTGGTGTTTTATTTATTAGTACAAACGTCTACTCATCTTATTTCATTTTTTCTACCTACCCGTCTGTCCATCCATAAATTGCTGTAATCATAATCCGTATATTTATTATTCGTTTATTTAGCTCATGGTTCATTGCTTCACGGATAACAAATAGTTACCGTTCCCCCGTGCTTGTCGTCTCATTCAGGAAGACACACGTCGATGTATTTTCGGGGTCAGGTTGGATATCGGTTCGATAATGATTGGCGCCCTTATTTTACGCGTGTGTCTTTTGACAACGGTCCCAACGTCGCTTGTCGATTTCCTTATTTCGCCTGTTTGAAATATGATGACCTTTAACTCCGACCAGTCAGCACGCATTTGCAGCCATTTTTTGTCGATTATTGCGCTACTTTTTCTCCAGTCTCGCCAGTATTTACCCTTCAAGTAATTCATCGTCAGTCGTTGCAACCTTGATGAAGACGCTGTCACCCCACCCCCCATCGTCCGGCACCTGTCTCTGTGGTGACGCATCTGTGCTGAATTTCTTTTTCGCTTTCCACTTTCAGCATATTCCGCCAACTGAAGGCAAATAAGACCTCTTTGTCTAACATTCATCATTAGTAACTGTTTCCCTAGATGTAATTTGTGTCAACGCCTTACCCTAATCGTGGTAGTAGTTGTTTTTGCAGCTTTTTCTCTTGGTATATCCTCGCTTTTTCTGCTTATGCACTCCAAATTCAATCGTTCGCGCTGTTCTATATACACACCTTTTTGACACCGCATTTTCTTACGCTGTCGTGTCTTTCGTCGTAACACTACCTTTCCCTCAACTCTGCCTTTCTCAATCTTAATCAAATGTATATATATGGTTTGCGCGTTGGCTTTTCCATCAGTTTTCATGAGGTGCTACTCACTTTTCCGTTTCTCATCGCATACTGCAACTTTACTAATCATCATTTGCATTATATTCTATAATGTGTATTTCATAACCTATGTTCATCGTTTCCTTTTGTCTATGGTAGTTGCTGGCGACTGTTGCGCTGATGTTGCTGCTTTTATATACTTATTATACAATGATGTTTAATTGCGGTCATCGTTGCTACAGACGATTTTTGACAACCCAAATCGTCTTGAATCTTTTTCTGTTTATGTATGGATTTGTATATGCTTAAGTGGGTCTGCTTGCTTTTTGTTTCCTTTCGTTCGATGAACATTTACGGAACAGATGTCGTAAATCTTTTGATGCCTCATGTGTACGCTTGCGCCAGAAAAAAAGTCGAAATTACTCTTTTACGAAACAGTGTCAAATCTACTATACTCGTTTTCTGATCTGTAGAACCTTCGAGTTTTAATTTTTCTGAAGCACCTTCATCAATAAAATCAATTTTTACCATTGTCCAGGATTATCGACCATAGAAAATCTCCATCCCGAGTGCAGGTTCTCCCGTAAAGGCATTATTGTTTTCTTTTCAATCGGTATTACGTGCTACATTATTCATTAATACAAAAGTGGTAGCCATGTTAATTAGAGGCAATGACACGTGGTGGTCTTGCCTCGTTTCACCTACATTATGCGGCAGTGTAATTCCATGATATAGATATCTATTTTTTGTTTAATTTAAACTATTATTACCGTATTAACAATAGTAATGCTTATTTAATTTATCATAGTTGAAACAGTGCCTGGTTTTTTAGCGGGTTACGCGAGAACCTTGGCGTTATTATTAATCCGTTTATTAAATGCACCTCGTGCGCTGCAGGTCATTGTTGATTTTGGTAATAAAGGCAGATTTCATACAATGAGATATAGTGCGCAACACCACTAGATTCTGCGGATCCCTCTAATTCTTCTCTAATGAGACTAATCGCTATTATAGCTATTTAATCAGCTGAAAGTGAACTCGTAATTTTCATGCTGGGTATCACGCTCATGCAGTATATATACATGTATCCGTACTTCGGTTGAGAAGATTAGCTATACTACTAGACTAACCGCTGTTTATACTTGATTAGTTTTGCATGGATTAAGTAGAACAAGCCTGAGGAGCGCAACACGATCAATCTCTCACACCTCTTAGTGGCATTCCCTAAACATTCGCCATTCCTGCTATATTCTAGGCAAGTTTCTGTATACAAGTGTTACTGCTCGCTAGACGCCTGTGTTTATGCGTATATATATACCTGTATCGGAGGAAGATAATCCAGCAATTAACTTAAATTAAATTAAGGTGAGTCTGCGTATTAATCATTTGTTGCCAACCTACGATCGAATTACTACGTTTATAAGTTTAGCCAATGAATTCATCATCTAAAAGGGAAAATTGTTCTGTCCATTTCATTAGCAGACGCCTGCTAATGAAAACGCTCCTGAGCTCAGGGTATGCCCCACAAATTAGGGCACACTGTGGTGGGCTATCTGTCGCAACGAGCATGCGTTCATTCGCCTTTCTTAGCACTAAATAAAAGCCTGTTCCTTTTTAAACAAATTATTAACTAGTCACGGTGGAAGACAATGCGCCTTTTTCGCAATGTGAGCAAAAATGACCTCTCAGACAACCCTTCGCATTAAACCAACCCCCACCAAAACCAAAAACTTATTTCTCTTGTCATAAATTGACGGTCTACGTTATTGTCAGTTTTATGTAGCCTTCGAAAAACACAAGAAAGATTTTTAAAAGGCAAACGAGAAGATCTTCAGTGAAATTCAGATATCAAAAATCTACCAAAAGAGCTCAAAAACCATTTTCGAGGCATCTGGACTTTTCTGCAAAGATTAATAACCGTTTTGTGGAGGACAATATCAGTGGTCAAATCGATCGTCTAAGTAAGCTCCAACAATACGTCTTTTTGGAACACTTTGCACCTTTTGAAATATTTCGTCTGTATTTGTGGAACTTTCCGCCTGTTATCAGCCCAAAACTTAATCTACTGGTAGTTTTTCGTAAGTAGTGTATTTGAGCGGCTTTAGCGACTTAACATGTAGTAATATAGCTTAACCCTTGCTTACTATCGAGAAGTTATTTGCGGATTAAGAAAGGAACAAGTTTAGGTCTCGAACTTGAACAATAATACCAGTGAACGGTAGTTAACCGGTATTATAGGTCATGTTAAATAAAAGTACTA